CTGCCTGCTTCTGCCTCCCGAGTGTTGGGATTAAAGGCGTGCGCCACCAATGCCCGGCCAGGCATGTATTTTCCCCACAGTAAAAGTCCTAATGTCCGTATGTGCACATTAGCATTCAGGTATTCCTGTCTTTTGTCAGCATGGCCGCTACCTGCTCAAGTTCCACACCATATGTGCTGCACTGAGTGTGCCTTGCACTGGTACAGAAAATGGGAAGCACAAAAAGCAGTAGTGTGCTGGTTCTACCCATGCCAGACTCTCCGGAGTCTTCCTCGGCACCATTTCTAGACATCAGAGCTGCCTGGCAGGCTCTACAGAGGCATCTTATCTCAACTGCAAAGGCCGGAACCTAGAACTCTTTCAGAATGTTCCTGCCCTTGGTCAGCAAAGTAGAAAAATGGTGTGTGTTAAAGCATGCATTTAAGTCAGCATTTTCCAAGCAGAGCTTCAGAGTGTTCATTACAGCTCAGCCAGCCCTTCCACCTGAGCTGAGCTATTCGAAGGCAGGTACAGAGACAGAAAAAGTACAGTTTAAAAACTAATTTTTTTTTCCCCCAGGGTGGTTAGCCTGGGTTCTGTACATCCACACCACACCTCCAGCTCCTCTTCCAGAAAGAGGAAGTGGACACCCACACAAGCCAGCTCTTCCTTCTCCTCTTCTGCCTTCCACCCACTCTCTACCAGTGTTAGATGAGTTTAGTTTTACTGCTATTTCTGTTGAAAAGTAGTCATTTTTCTGGACAGAATAAAGGATAATGAACAAATTCACAAATTGGTAGCATCCACCTAGCAGTCCATCTTGCTTTGTTTTTACCCCCTTTTGGCACTCACTAGACTGTAAAATGGAACATAGTAGCTAAGTGTGTCGGACTCAGTGCCTAGGTAGAAAATAAGAATAAAGGTTGTTACTTCTCAGTATAACTAAAAAGTGTTGTGCAGGATGAACTATGAGTCCAGGGTGGTGAAGCATGCCTGTAATCACTCCACCTGGAAAATGCAGGCAGTAGGATATGGAGTTGAAGGTCATCTTTAGCTGTATAGTGAGTTTGAGACAAGACTGGGCAGCATAAGACCCTGTTTCAGACAAAAATAAAATGAAAGACAAATGATAAACAAAAATGAGTCAAATTATGACTTGAAATGGGCTGGGGATGTAGCAAAGGTAGAGGCCTTTCCTACATCACAGCTCACCCTCAAAATATGAAGGGATCACTAAAACTAAGGAGACGAAGAAGCCTGTGAGTAAAGACGTGTGTGTGTGCGCGTTCACTTTTATTGTTGTGCTTTTATTATCTTACATCCTAGAGTTATTGTATGTGTTAAAGAGTATTTCCAGGTTGAGTCCACTGATACCTTACTAATGGTGACTTCAGATGTTCTCTCCATTTCTGCTTTGTGTAGTAGTGAACCAGATCTAGAGATGGTGGGTTTCATCTGAAGGTTTAAGTTAGTCACGGAGCTCCTCCTTAGTACTCCTCATTACAAGGCTTGCTCAGCCTTGGAGCCTCTGTGGTTTGCCTGCTTTGTGATTACCACACTCCAGTCAGCAACCTCACTCTGTGCCTACTCTTCCCTCATTAATAAGGAAGAATGGGAATTGAGATGAGGACGCCTCCTACTCACCTCCCCAACTCTCAGGCCTCACACCACCCTGAACCACAAGCCAGCTCTGTCCATTGTTTCCTTAATGCTCGTGGCTAGCCACCAACAAGCAAGCCTTATTCTGCTACCCAGTAGAGAAATCATCTGTGTGCATAGATAAGCCCACAGTTATTTTCCAGCATTTCGTACTTATGATAAAAGGCCGCAGGGTATGTGGCTGACATGATTTATTGAGTTCTGTACTCGTCTGCATCTGCTGCACTGACTGTGTTTTTCTGTTTTCCTTTCCTGCTCACATTTGGACAGGACAATCTGTGTTCCCCTTCAGACATCCTTCAGCTAAACCTCAGCGTTAAAAGAACTGTCGAAACACTGCTTTCTCTGGGGGCACATGCGGAAGAACCCAGCTTTGTCTCTTTCTCTGTCCAGCTTGTGGGTTTTGTGGCATTTTACTGTGCTTTCATGTTAACTCTCTGTGTGCTTTATTACCGGCTCTTCCCTCTTAGCTGACCGTGCACCCTGTGCCTTCCACCTCCTTCCTGTGCTTGGTGAAGGTTTGTTTCTCATATACAATTACTGACAGAGTGCTAACTTGAGTAGGTGCATCGTTTCTTGTATGTCCAGACAGCAGCGCATTGCACAGCAGGTGCTAACAAAGGCTAACAGAGAGATCAGCTTTCTGTCTCCTGGTCATTTGCTTGCCCCCTGCCCTGTGTGGCCTTGTTTCTCATATTGGGGGTGGGGGATGGTTGAGGTGTTTTTATTAATGCAGTCCTGAGCCATAGAGAACTCTGCCCGTCTTTTTATACTGTGCTACAACTTCACTTTTGAAGTAAAGAATGTCTGAGCCCTTTCAGCAGCTGCTCACCATAAAATTATTGGTACCCTTTCTAATTTGGAGTAAGTACCTTGTTGCTTAGTCCTCTACCCTCAAGTCCTAAGGAGCCCTTAATATTAGACATTTAAACTTTAGTTTGTCTGAATTTTTAGTTTAAAGGTACTGGAGGTTCCCCAGATTGCTGTTCTGAGCCAATTTAAGACAGTGGTCAATGAGCAGATGACCAGAGTCTACATCGGAGATCTGGTCATGCTTACGACGTGTGCTGCCTGTGACAGATCCACTGCTGGAATCCTGTTAAAATGTGACATTTGAAATTCATATCATGTCTACCATGTTTGAACCATTCTTATAGGTGACTTTGTATTTTGTAGACTGTTGGGGAGATTGTATCGGAACTGCAGGTCCAGTGAAGCTGCAGTCTGTATCAGATTGCTTAGTAGATCAGTTTCTGGACCTGGGGCCGAGAACAGCATTGCTGCATTCAGATTGTAGCTCTCACAAATGGTGTCTCCAAACTCTAGGAACAAAACTGGACAGCAGCTCAGGAGCATAATACCCTGCGGTAGTCAACCTGGGCACATGCTTACCTCATGTAAAGTGGGCTGTTCTTTACTGTCCCCTACTAATGTTAATGCAGTGACAGACTCAGTGCTATGCAACAGTGCCTTCCAAGGTGTGATGGTGTGGATTTGTCTTACTTTTATTGTCTGAGTTCTGTAGCATTTTGTCCTTTTACACACACACACACACACACACAAACACACACCACAACACACGTGTGCACACGTGGTCAGGCTTAAAGCCAGGTGTGGTTATACACACCTGTAATCCCAGCATTTAGGAGACTAGGCTACAAAGCAAGACATTATCTTTAAAATGAAAACAAAACCACCAAAGAAGCTGCTGTGTGGTCTAAACCAGCAATGGTGGGTTCCTAGGAGACATCCACAAAGTTGATGTACATGTGGTGTCTAGACCACTATGCACCTAGCCACTTGCCCTTGGCTTGGGCCTGGGTACTGCTGAGCAGGCAACAGGAAACTGGCCCTGGAGAAAATGCCCCACCCAGAGCAGAGCACACACAGATTTCATCTTTTTGTTGTTGTTGGTTTTTGTTTGTTTGATTTGGTGTGGGGGGGGGATTTTGTTGTTGTTTTGGGTTTTGGTTTTGCAAAACAGGGTTTCTCAGTGTAGCCCTGGCAACTGGATCTGTAGACCAGGTTGGCCTCAAACTCACGGAGATCCACCTGCCCCTGCGTCCCGAGTGCTGGGATTAAAGGCATTCATCACCACTTGGCTTTCAAATACAAGTTTTGGTTTGGTTTGGTTTTTCGAGACAGGGTTTCTCTGTGTAGCTTTGGAGCCTATCCTGTTACTCACTCTGGAGACCAGACTGGCCTCGAACTCACAGAGATCTGCCTGCCTCTGCCTCCCGAGTACTGGGATTAAAGGCTTGTGCCACCAACGCCCGGCTCAAATACAAGTTTTAAGGCAGGTTCTCACTGTGTAGCTCTGGCTGGCCTTGAACTCACAGAAACCTGCCTGGCTCTGCCTCCTACATCCTAGGATCAAACATACCCAGCTAAAATACACCTTTTAGAATCTGATTTTTAACTAATTTAGGTTTACCCTTCCACGAATTACCCAAAGTAGAGCAATGTTTCTTAAATCCATTTAACATTGAGGGCTATGGCATCGAGCCTGAGCCACCTCCCTTTCCTGCAGTTAAAGTCATCATAAAGGGGATGTGTCCCCTTCTGTGAGTTCCTTTCCAGAGTGTTCTCTGTAAATGCTGTGTTTTCCACTTGAGCCGTGATGTAACTTGGGCTGCTTTTCCACTTTTATGTACTCTGTAAGTCTGCCCTGATCTTTTGTCAGAGACAGTGTCCTTTCTGCGCAGTGCTCTGTTCTCCCGGTGTGTAACTGTATGCCACCTGTCAGTTTTGCGCTTTTCCAGATGTTCTGTATGGACCTTTAGTTGTGTTAATAAAGTGACCCTGAGTGTGAGATGCCGTCTGCATCTGCCTCCTTTAGCAGGGTGGGTTTACCAGAGGCTTTCTGTGTCTCACTTGATTATTATGGGGTGGGGGTGGAAGTTCCTTTCAGTTCTGTGATGTTCATCCTGTTTTGTTTGTCTTATGTTACATTGTCCCCTTTCAGGAGCAATTATGTTTGCCTCTGCACATTTTAGAAGAGAAGGGGTTGAGCCAGGTTGCGGTGACTGTCCAGGCCCTCCTGGAACTTGCCCCACCCAAGCAGCAGCAGCAGCAGCAGCAGCAGCAGCAGCAGCAGGACTTCCAGGGCCCTGGGTGTTGGCACAGCCAAAACAAGGAGCAGGAGGATGCAATTGCTGGTGTTGCCTGCTCAGACGGAGCCCTGGGTGTTGCCAGAAGTGCTATCTTCATGATTCCTGCCAGGAATGTTTGCTTCATTTCTCCATTTTAGGGGAGATTAAACCCATTTCCACTATTTTTTGTTTTTAATGAAGACAAAGTTTTCTTAAGTGGAACTTTCATTATTGAGGACCCAACATGGAAGCCTAAGCTGGCTATGCCTAAGCCTAAGTCTGCTTCTTGGGGAGCAGACTTATTTTTCATGCCAGAGTCAGTATCTTCAAAGCCAGCTGTTTAGCTCTCTCAGAAGACATACACGCTGTTATCTTTGCCAGTTCCCGGGTGTCTACAGTTCCCTGGTTTCCACAGTTGGGCTTCATTCTCCTGGAGCATTTGTGAAATCCAGATCTGCATCAAAGGTTTTGGCTGTGGCTGGGAACCTGCATTTTCGGCAGACTTTGCAGTTGTTCTCAGCCAGTAGAGACCACTGTTCCAAGACACATAGTTAGGTGGTTTGAGGGTACCACCCCTACTGCATTTAAATCAAAGGCTATATTGTGATGACTTGGACAATTCTGTCAAAGAAAACAAAAATAATAGAGAAGCCCCCGATTTTGCACAGTATAACGGGTATTTAAAACCGATGTCCAGGCCTCTCCCCAGCCCTGCCCACTACCACCCCATCTTTTTCTAGAGGGCGGTTCTGCACATCACCCTGCTATTTCCTAAACATAGACACATGATACCACAGTTCTAAGCTGTAAGGTATAACGTGCACTACTCAACAGTATTTGCATTTGCCTCAGTGAGCCCTGCATGCTGATCCCAGGGCACCTGAACCAGGCATGACGGATGCACTAACAGCTCCCTGCTCATGGGACCCTGAACACAATGCCAAAAGAACTGAAGGAAAGCCACACTTCTTACAGTCCTTTCAGGCAGTCCTTGCAGTTCCATAGCTCCTAGAAAGCACTCAGAGCAACTTCCTGTCTCTCATCTAGCCCCTCCCCCAGATCCACTGCCTGTGCCTTACTGCATAACTGTGAGCAGAGAACAAAAGGGCCTAGGGTTCCAGCGCCAAGTAGGCATCTTTATTTAAATTTAAGCACAAAGCTTTTTCTTCTCCTAGATTTTGCACACTTTTTAGTTGTTAGTTGTGTCTTTGGTGTTCATTGTGGCAAATCGGTTTTGTAGGGTTTTTCTTTTATGGTTTTTCTTCCCAAGGCTTGCATTTGAGAACAGTATTTACCCTGTATAGTATCTAAAAGTAATAACTTTGATACTGGGCCATGGTTCTATCCCCAGCACCTAAAATAAGGTACAGAGAGGCACACAAGCTAATTGCAGACATTCTGAAAGTGGAACCTGAGTGGTCAGGATTTTGCAGGATGTTAGGCAGCTTCAGCCCACCTAGGCTACATTAGATTGTGGCTGAAGAACTGGCTCAGAAGTTGAGAGCACTTGCTGCTCTTGCAAAGAGTCAGGGTTCAGTTCCCAGCACCGACATAGCAGTTCATAACTGATGCCCTACAATGGCTTCCTCAAGTACCAGGCATATACATGGTACAAATACATATATGAAGGTAAAAACACTCATACATGTAAAAATACTTTTGCAAAAATATTCTTCCTCTAAAAGTGACTTTGAACAAAATCATTTTGAGTAGTCAAAATAATTTCTCCTTGTTTGTGCACAGAAGTGTTTATGAGAACATTGTCCCTTTATCCAAGTTTAAAAAAACATGTAACAGCAGCCAGGCATGATGGCACATGCTTATAACTCAGGAGGTTAAGGCTGGAGGAACATGAATTTTAAGCCAGCCTGGGCTATACTGCAAGCCCTTATTGCCAGAGAAAGTAAGTGTAACCTAGAGCACCTTGGCTCCTACGTACTCACAACAGAAGTGACACGGCTTGTTTACGGCCAGCTGTGCTTCTGGGCTATAGCTACACTTCCTTCTAGTCATCATTAAACAAACCTTAGCATAATTTCTAAATTCTAGGTTTCACTATTGTACAGAAAGTGAGTCCAGAAGACAGTACATACTATAACACTTGGAATAGCTACAGGAGTTCCAAGGAGTACAGTGACGTTGCAGAGCATGGTGGCACATGCCTTTAATCCCAGCTTTTGAGAGTCAGGGGAGGCAGATCTCGTCTACACTGTGAGTTCCAGGGCTACACAGTAAGACCCTACCTCAGAAAAAAGAGGACATTTTAACATTTCAGTTTTTGGGTTTTTTTTTTGGTTTTTTTTTTTTGGTTTTTCGAGACAGGGTTTCTCTGTGTAGTTTTGGATCCTATCCTGGCACTCGCTCTGTAGCCAGGCTAGCCGCGAACTCACAGAGATCTCCTGCCTCTGCCTCCTCAGTACTGGGATTAAAGGCGTGTGCCACCAACGCCCAGGCAGCATTTCAGCTTTTCCTGTGAGACCTGGATGTACTTATGAAGCTAATTCAAATTTAATTATCAGGAAACATTTGCACAGTTTTGGCTGCAGTTGTTGCGGCTCCTCTGAGTCAGCGTATAATAACAAATCAGGTTTCTGCCGGCCTTCTGTGGCTTCACACATATGTTTCTAAATTGGAAAGAACAATCCATTTTGTATTTAACCTTGCTAGAGACCCCATTGTGAGTTAAAATTAGTCATGTCATACTCCCTTGATGGGAAATGGCTACCTTACTAGTGCTGGTGGCTGGACAAGCCAAGTGCCTGCCCCGCCACCTACAGAGATGTCATGTCCGCGGCCTGCAGGCTTGCAGAAGTGCCTCTGCCTAGCACTCCACCGAGACCCTCCTGTAATGAGCAGGTCTGAGAGATGCAGTGGAGGAACCATCGTATGTGGCTAGAACAGACGAAAAAGGCAGAGCAGTGGGTGGTTTCCAATCCAGCTACCATGTAAATACCCCCTTGCAGCTAATCGTGAAGCCTGTAATCTGGCTTCCTCTAGTCAGCAGTGCCTAATAATGTGCTATGCTGATGAGTTTGAAGAACTAAGTATTTAGATGGTTGTAGAAATGAAGGAAAACTTGGTTGTTTAGAAGCCTTTTATATACACATTGCAGTGAGGTGGTTACAGCAGATTTGACTTCTGAAATGTTACATGTAATTAGCAAAAGGTTTTGTAAACATTGTCCTATATTTGTATGTCTGTAAATATATTGTATAAGTTCTGAGTATAAATATGTCGATACTGTGTATGTTATTTTAAGTTGCCTGTATGCCATCTTATATGTGAACATTAAAATAAAAGCCAATACTTCAGTAGCATGTAATAAACACTTGCAAATGTTCAAATCTAAAACTTGGTCTCCGTAGCAAAGACAAATCAAAGGAAGGGCATCTGTCGGTCTGGCTCACTGAAGGGACGAATCTTGTTAAAACAGCCTTTGAGGTTAACACTCACTTCTTAAGAAGGCTCCGGTAGGGAGATGGCATGTGATGACAAGGGTTAGGCTCAATTCAGGCTGGGGCTATAGTGCAGTTGGTAGTGTGCCTACTGGAATGCATGAAGTCCTGTATGTTACTCACTTCTGTAATCCTAGCACTTGAGAGACAGCAGGAGGTTCAAGACCAGCCTACTACATACTGAGTTTGAAACCAACTTGGGCTACATGAAGTCTTAATTCATGAAATAAGTAATACACATTAAGATAACTTTCCTCTCAGAAATAACCAGTTGAGGGCCAGTGAAATGGCTCAGCAGGGAAAGGGGCTTGCTGACAAGCCTAATGATTTGAATTTAATCCCATGACCCAAAAGAGACACCGTAGAAGGAAACAGTTCTTGAAAGCTGCCCTCCTCTCATCCCCACACATGAGTTGTGGCATGTACACGTAAAATACTTTGAATTTTTTTTTCAAGGTAGGATTTCCCCTTGGTTTATAGACCAGGCTGGCCTCGAACTCACAGAGATCCGCCTGCCTCTGCCTCCCAAGTTCTGGGATTAAAGGTGTGTGCCACCACCACCCAGTGCAATCTATTTTAAAGAAACAAACTAAGACATGGTCTTCATGATTTTAATCCCAGCACACAGGATGGCAGAGGCAGGCAGATCTTTGAATCGAAGGGCAACCTGGTCTACCGTGCAGGTTCTGAGATGAGCCTGGCAACCTGAATTAGCCTGAGAACCCACAAAAAGTTGGGGAGAACTGAGAACCGGCACACACACACAGAAAGAAGCAGAGATGGGGTGGAGACAAACGAGCAGGCTGCACTGTCATGAAAGCTCTAGCATTCCAAGACACTCCTTGTTGATTAGTCAAAGCAAGAATGAGCCAGTGGGCTCACTGGGAGAAGTGCAAACAACCAGCTTTGTTGTAAACCACACAAGCCCGTTTTCACCCATCTTGTTTCTTTAAGTCTTAATTCCAGATGGTGGACATAGTTGGGTCTCGCTTGGCAAAAAATCTCTGAACTAACCTTCTGGACCCCATGTCCCATCTTTACCACTAGAAGACTGTATCCACACTCAACCTGTCTCTCGTATTGGCCACTTCATCCCTAAACCCTAGAAAAGTCACCGGAGCAGCCACCAACCCTAGAACCCTGCGAGACAGGCAAGAACCAAAGTTCCATGTGCATACATATTATGCTATGGCCTTGTAATTCTCACTGAACATTTCACTTTTATAGTAGTTTTTCACTTTAATCATATGGCATAAAATCAGAATCAAACATTACAGGAGTTTTTAGTGAATCAGTATAAGCCGATGAACTGTTTTCTGATGAGAAAGAAGCTACTCAACACTCCTTCCCTCAAGTCCACAGTCTGGTGAAGAGGCCCTACAGCCATGTTGTAGCCCCCATTCGGGGTTTGAAAACTAGGATAACAGGCCTAGTGAACTCTGTAGGCATCACAGATGACAACCCACAGGTGAGTGTTGTGACAGCATCATTTGTGTCTCTTGAAACCAGAGGAAAGAACAACAGGCACTTGTCACTTCTTGCCTCTCCGTTTTTCCTTCTCCTTGCCTTTGGAATCTTTGATGTCTTCTTTCTCTTTCCTGGGCATTTTGAAACTTCCAATTTCCCTCCGGACCACTGTACCTCGCCACCAGGCCTGAAGCTGCGAGAGAGAAGGGAGGCAGTTCATCTCAGTGTGCCCAACAGCACTGTGATCTTTCTACACAAGAGAGAACCAACAGTCGCTTGTGTTTAAGGAACATCTTTGAGACATGGCAGTGGCCAGGCTGCTGTCAGTAAGGATACCCTGTTGTGTCCCTGGCCGAGAATGAAAATACAGTGTGCTAGGCCAAGTTTTCCTTCAGACTTAGACCCCCACCTTCTGTGTTGTGTTTGCTCTTTTGGTAAACACCTCACACCTCCCAGCCATTGGTGGTAAAGGAAATGAATATCTGTTACCTGCACTCAGCGACCCACTGAGAAGTCTCAGTGGTTGGTGGTACAGTGTGTCACTTATCTTTAGGGAGCAGCTAAAAGTCCCCTTGGATGTCTTTGTCAGTGTGATGCAACTGTTCTGAGCAATCTAGATTATAAAATCAGACTAGCCTTGCCTTCGGAGAGCACGTGAATCCACCAGTGAGAACAAAAGCAATCTCTGCTTAGTTAGTTCTTTACTGGGAATTGAATCTTGACAAATGGAAAACATACAAGCTTGACCAACATTTCTAATTATACACCAGATTTTTCTAATGGGAGGATCAAAGATGAGTTTGGATACCTGGTCCTGAAAGTACTTTAAAATTTTCATTTTGGACTTGTGGTGTGGCTTAGTGATAAAATGCTTAAAGGCCTGGGCTTCCTAGTATCACAAAATGGAACAGAACACTGCCTTGTGTGGTAGTGCACACCTGTGATTCCAGCACTTGAGTGGTGGAGTTCGAGGCCAGCCTGAGCCACACAGGCAGAACTTGCTTCCTACTCTACATCTCAGATCCATTCCCCCAGGGCCCCTGAAGGAAGGATGCTCTTCTGGGTAGTTTTTTTGGTTGTTGTTTGCTTGCTTTTTTGTTTTTTTGGTTTTTTTTTTTTTTTTCAAATCAGCTGCTGTCTTTGCATTACAGTTTTTGCTTTAAACATATTTTACCAATGGCTGAAGAGATGACTCGGCAGTTAAAGAGCATGTACTGCTCTTGCAGATAACTTGAGTTAGTTTCCCAATACCCACAACATCTGGAGTTCACAACCATCCATAACTCCAGTTCCAAGGAACCTGATGCCTCTCTGGACCTCTGTAGGTACCTGTGCTCATGTGCACATACCCACATACAGACATACAGTCCTTTACATAATGAAAAGTAAAAGTGAATCTTAAAAAACATCTTCCAGAATCTGGACATGACTATCTCAGCTAAGCCTTGATTGCTCACATCTAAAATCCCCAGTGCTCAAGAGGCTGAGGAAGAAGAGCACTGTAGCTCGGGAGGCAGAGGCATTGGATCTCTGTGAGTTTGAGGCCAGCCTGGTCTACAGATCAAGTTCCAGGACAGTCTCCAAAACAATACAGAGAAACCCTGTTGTAGGGGAACCTGTAGCCACGCCTGCTTAGGGGCTGGCTACAGGTCTGCCTGACCATGCCTTCGAGGGCATGGTCAGGGTGATGTAGAGTGAGAGGGTCAGGGCTTCGTTTCAGTTTCATTTTCCCCTTTCGGCTTGCTGCTGCACCTGCTGGCTAGGTCGCTCTGTAAGTAAGCCTTTTCCCTATTAAATACCCTTATATTTCTACTTGGCTCCGTATTGTCAATTTCTCACCAAATCCTGTCTCGGAAAAAAAAAAAAAAAGTGCGTGCGTGCGTGCGTGCGTGCGCGTGCGTGTGTGTAGAAAGAAGTTTTAAACATGGAGGTTTTTTGTTTTTTTTTTTTTTTTTTCCTAATTTGCATTGTCCCTTTTTACTTTTGGGGGTTTTGTTTTTTCTTTTTCTTTTTTTGTTTCTTTTTAAGCAACTTGTATTGGATGGCAGCAGATAGCCAGGGCTGATTTACAACAGGATGTGGAGGAGGGCAGGGCATTCAGAAGCATGCTGCCTATATCGGAGTCCCCTGCTCAGATTTTATGGCTGGAAGGAAACTTTGCTTCCATTGCTCATCTCCTCGCCACGGACCTGCACTGTGTCTAGCCTCCATGCCAGCCCCAGCCACCCCAGCATCCTAGCTACCTTCACGATGCTCTTCAGCTCCAGGTCATCCTGTTGCTTCTTCTTTCTCATCTTCTCCTTTTCCAGCCGGTCCTCAATAATGACCTGCTCGTACTCTCGGATCTGCACAAGTACACACAAAGCACAGTCGCTATAGCCCAGCCTGCCTTGCATGCCAGTAATCCCAGATTGCCGGGGACATAGACAGGAAGATTGCCACAAGTCCAAGGCCAGTCTACAAAGCAAGTGTATGTCTCAGAAAAAAAAAAAAAAATCGGCCCTTGTTATCATCATCAGAGAATCCCATTGGTTTACAGACACACATCTGCTTTTGGCCAAGTCTTCCCCAGTCCCTAGCTTAGCCTCCACTCATTCTCCAGGGGTCCCCCTATTACCCCTTACCGTCTTTGCAAGGTCTTGAAGGTGTGCTAGGTCAGAGGCCTTGACAGCCTTGAGAGAATTTAGCTCATTCTGTTTTGCTTCTGTGTCTTTATCAAATTTCTCCATCCAGAACTCTAGCTTCTCCTCAAGTTTCTACTTAGAAAGAACATTAAAACATGGCTCCACCAGACATAAGATAACAAGACCAGGTGTTCCAGTTACAGCAAGAACAAGCAAATTTTTCTACAGAGATCCAGTCAGAACAGACTTGGTGAGGACATGAGAGAGGGGGTGCTGACATTTTGTCTGGTTGGTGGCTACATCAAACTGCACTCCACATTTGTATACTTTTCTGTGTGTAAGCCACTCAGTTTTTAAAATAGGAGGCACACCTATGAACTAACAGCTTGTGATTCATAACTCAAGCCAGACAGAACCCCATAATAGAGGGTGGAGGTCAGTAAGGAGTCCTGTCCCAGCTAAGACACTAATGGAAAGTGGTCCCTATTGGGAGAGAAAGAGTCCATCTTTGAGGGTGTGGCCCCTGGTAGTCACCACACTCCACTAGAATGCCACACAGCCAACAGTGTATGGGCAGTAAGAATTGTGTTGATGAGTTTTTATTTAAGGATAGTTTAGGTGGGTAGGGAAGTGGGGGTTAGATCTGAGGGGGGTTGGAGAAGAAGATATGAATTTATCAACTAATCAGATGAGAAAATATATAAAATGACAACAAAAATAAGAGGAAGGGCTGGGGTACAGCTCAGGGTAACTCTTGCCTTGCACCTGCGGCCTTGGGCTGGACACCCAGCACTGCAAAACAGATGCTTGAGCTCTTCAGAAATGAATCAATGCTCAAAGCCACGGTAAAAAAAAACAAGGGGAGGTAGCAGAGGAGCAGGTAGAAATTCTGAGAGCTAAGCAATGGCATCAGCTCTCATTTTTATTAAAAACACTGAACACTGGTCAAAAGACTGAAATGTGGGCTGGGGGTATACTCAGTTGGGGTGCTGGTCTAGCATGCACAAAGCCCTGGGTTTGACAGCCAGTAACACATAAAAGTAGACATGGTTGCCCACACCAAAGTAGAAGAGGATCAGAAGTTCAAGGCCATCATTAGCTACATAGCAAGTTCTAGTCCAGCCTGGGATATATGAGACCCTGTCTGGGGGAGGGGGAGTATTGAAGATTATCAGTGAAAACAGATATGATTCTAAGATGTCAAGCCAACCTAATTTTCCAATATGATAGACGAGATTCAGTCTTGGAAAGTTACTAAGATGGACGTTGGCAAGGGAGAATGAGAGCAGGTGCTGGGAGCAGAATTCCGGCCCTCTGGAGAGCAGATGATGATGTCTGTCGCCTGTGTCATCTCTTCAGCTCCACGGCTGGCTTCCTTTACATGTCTTACACACACTGAGATTCTGATTTCTTTCTCATAGGTGTAGAATTAATCATTGTCTATATTCTGTTGTTTTTTGTTTTTATTAAAGTAAAACTTTTTATTTACCTCCCCCTTTCCAGTATCCTATCTTGAGATCAACTTTATGCAAATGGCACTGCATTAGCATACAAAATCTGGGATTACAAGTGTGCAGCACCAAGCCTGTATTTCCTGTGAGTGCTGAGGTCTAACTCAGGTCCTAATGCTTACACAGCAAGCATTTTACCTACTGAGGCAGCTCTTCAGCCCATTACAAGATTTTAAAAAGTTGCAGATTTAAAAAAAGGTGGCATCTGCCTTTAATATCAGCACTTGGGAGGCAGAGGTACTGAATCCTAGTCTACATGATGAACTGTGGGCCAACCAGACTACATAGTGAGACACTGTCCTTACATCAAAACCATTGCTTTCCTTGGAATTTTATAAGTGGAATTTTTTGTTTGAACAGTCTTACTATGGAGCCTTTTCCACCCTAGTACTTGTTATGTACACCAGGAAGGGTTTTGGTTTGTTAGATAGATAGATAGATAGATAGATAGATAGATAGATGGATAGATTTTTTTTTTTTTTTTTGCAGTTTCAAGACAGGTTTTCCTCTGTGTAACAGCCCTTGCTGTCCTGGAACTCCCTTTGTAGACCAAGCTGGCCTCAAACTCAGAGATCTGCCTGCCTGTACTTCCCAAGTACTGGGATTAAAGGTGTACACCACCTCTGCCTGGAGTGGAATTTTTAAAAAATGATCTCTTTACCTTATGGGTATGGCTGTTTTGCCTGTGTGTGTGTGTGTATGTGTGTGCGCGCGCGCTCACGTGCATGCATACCATGTACACCCAGTGCCCTTGAAGACCAGGAGAGGGCACTGAATCCCCTGGGCCTGGAATTGCAACTGTGAGCTGACATGTAGGAGCTGGGAACTGAACCCAGGTCCTCTGCAAAAGCAGTCAGTGTTCTTAACCTCTAGGACATCTCTATTTTGATTCTAGTTTAGTCAAATGTCCAGGAGACTCACCTGCTGCTCTTTCTTAAGGAACAATTCGATCTCCGTGTGAACTCGGTTCTCTTCTTCAGTTTTCATCCTCAGTTTCTGTAATGCGTCAAACACAGGCTCTCTCCTCAGCAAGGCTGAGGTCAGCAGTTCCCAGGCAACACATGCAGCAAGAACCCCAGGAATGCCAGGACTCCCCAAAGAGCTATCTAGCCATTTGTACTCCACAAACCATGCAGAGTCACAGGCTGGCTCCTCCTTAGACACACACAAGGGCCCCAGAAAATGCCGTCACAACCCTGTCATCTAAAAACAATGCTTCAAAGGGTACAAGAGTCTCATCCCAGAGAAGGAAAGTATAGAATTCAAGACAGCCCACACCTGGAATCCCAGCATTCTGGAGGCTGAGGCAGGCAGACCAATTTAAGGCCAGCCCATCACGACAGAGTGAATTTGAGACCAGCCTGAACTACAGAAACCAATGACGGAGGAGGAAGAAGAAGGATGAGGAGAAAATAACAAAACAACAAAAAATCAGGGGTTAGGGGTGGTCCAAGAGCAGCACCTGGGAAGTAAGCTTTCACAGCAGCCTTCTCCAAGTCATGGAAAGAAGCAGGAGTGGCTGGAGCAAAGGCTGCACTTCCAGAGGACCCAGCAAACATATGGTGGCTCACAACCATCTATAATGAGATCTAGTGCCCTCTTCTGGCCTGCAGGCATACATGCAGGCAGAACACTGTACACATAATAAATTTTTAAAAAGAAGCAGGAGGTATAATCATTAAAATCTCTAATCACAAATATTTAATGCCCCATTTAATCTTTTATGTTTGACCTCAAGGCTGCACTGGCCATGAAGGGAAACCTTAATCATCTTCTTCCTCTTTCACCGGCTGAGGCAGGAGAGAGCCCAGCAGTTAAAAGAGTGCACTGCTCTTGTTAGAGGACCTAAGTTTAGTTCTACCCCCCAGGTTGGATGGCTCAAAACCACCTATAACTCCAGGCCCATGGGGCCCAATGCCTCTAGCCTTCCTGGGCACTAACAAGCACACACCTATACATAATATTAAAATATGGAGCTGGAGTTACAGGAGGTTGTGAACCTCCCAACATGGGTGCTGGGGACGGAAAGCAGGACTTCTGGAAGAAATGCATGTACTCTGGTTTGTTTGTTATTCTAGACAGGGTTTCTCTGTGTAGCCCTAGAGGTCCTAGAACTCACTCTGTAGACCAGGCTGGCCTTGAACTCACAGAAGTCTGCCTGCCTCTGCCTCCCAGGTGCTGAGAGTAAAGGTGTGTGCCACCGCCCAACTAAGAAGTGCACGTACTCTTAACAGCTGATCCATCTCTCCTGCCCAAGATAAATCAATCACTTTTTTTAAAGTGACAGCTCACATGACATCAAGTCATCTACCCAGGTTTTTGTTTTGATGTTTGTTGACACTGGAAGGTGGACTCAAAACCTGGCATATGCTGTCACCAAGCTCCATCCCCAGATAGCCTAGTGTAGCACAGGTTACCTCAATCTCCTCCAGCAGGTGTTCCTCTGCTCTGCTACATTTCTTCTGGGTCTGGGAAATCTGCAGCTCAGTGTTTCTTTTCATATAAAGATTCTCCAGGTTGGTTTTGGCCTTCATCTCTTGTAACTGGTCCTTGAGGTGAGCAATGTATTCATTCCCATTCTGCAGAGATGAGACCGGATTTCTGAACTAAAATTTTATTGTGCTTCTAAGGCAACCGGCAAGTGGGGCTGGCTTTCTCCCAGCACACTGAGGGAAACTACTTAGTCATCACGATATTGTGAATGAAAATGAATCACAGAACCAGGAGACAGAGCATAAGGCTTGTCACAGATTCCAGACCAATGAGGACCACGGAGTGAGAATTTATCTCATTAAAAAGAAAAGCAATGCATGGTGGAACACATCTTTAATCCCAGCACTCTGGAGGCACAGGCGGGTAGGTAATGTGCATTGGAGGCCAGCCTACTTACATAGCAAGTTCCAGACCAGCCAGAGCTACACATTGAGACTGTCTCAAAAGGAGGAAAGAAAATGAAGCTGCGTGTAGTGGTTCATACCTATAATCCCAGCCCTGAGAAAACAAAGGCAGAAAGTTCGGGAGTTCAACGTCATCCTCAGCTACATTCTTAGCTGCTAAAAGCCAGCCTGGACTACAGAAGACCTTGTCTCTAAAAAGGGCAGAGGGGCTGGCCATAAGGCTCAGTGGATCCCTGCCACCAAACCTTATGATCTGAGTTTGATCCCTGGGACCCACATGATAGAGAGCGAGAGAATTGACTTCCTCAAGTTGTCCTCTGACCTCCATACATTCGCTCCACACACACAATACTAAATAAATGTGAGGAGTCGAGGGACATCATCTTTGTTTGCATGTTAGTTTGTTTTTTGAGACAATTTCTCTGTGTAACATCCCTGGGCTGTCCTGTAACTCACTCTGTAGACCAGGCTGGCCTTGAATTCACAGAGAAATGCCTCTGCCTTCCAAGTGCTAGGATTAAAGCTGTGCACCACCACCTGGCATGCTTCACAATTTTAAGGTCTCAAAACTCACTAACTTTTTAAAAAAGAAAATTCTTCAGTAGCAGACACTGAGCTAGGCAGTAGTGAACAATGGAGACCTAACCAGCCATAGTCCCATAAGGGTTCCAGTTTAGTGGAAGGGTGTTGTGAAAGGAAAGTGTGTGGACTTATCTAAATTGTGTGGGTGGTGTGGGAGAAAGATAGGCTCTGGGAGACACAGTAAAGGTGACCTCCATTAACACAACATCTAAACAGAAGGTTTACATTATATCATGCAACATTATGGAACTTTTTATAAATTTTGTAAAAAAGAAGAAGCCTAAGTCATCTGGATTTAATGCTATTGCCTTAAGCTTCTGAATTATTTTCCTTCCTGCTTTACATAAACATCTTTTGCAAACACATCTCACAAAAACATTTTATCAACAGTGTGAAATACAGAGTAAAATATAAAATCTTAGCTGGCATTAGATGCTAAAATCATGACTGAAGTATTATTCCAGCAATTGAACTGAAGTTCAGGTCCATTTTCATATATTCCCACAAAGCAAAACATGCCACCCGAGGCACATCACATTCCTGCACAGACACAGCACACACTGCAGAGACACAGCACACACTGCACAGACACAGCACACACTGCACAGACGCAGCACACACTGCACAGACACAGCACACACTGCAGAGGGACAGCACACACTGCACAGACACAGCACACACTGCACAGACGCAGCACACACTGCACAGACACAGCACACACTGCACAGACGCAGCACACACTGCACAGACACAGCACACACTGCAGAGGGACAGCACACACTGCAGAGGGACAGCACACACTGCAGAGGGACAGCACACACTGCAGAGGGATAGCACACACTGCAGAGGGACAGGACACACTGCACAGACACAGCACACACTGCAGAGGGACAGCACACACTGCAGAGGGACAGCACTGCAGACAAACGACTCAGGAATTTCTTTTAAGGCCTTTCACTCAGAGATCTGCCTTCACCACAGCCTGTCATCCTGATCATCCCTGTGACCAAGGCCCTCGGCCTGATTTGGTCTATTTGTGGGGTTTGAAGGCAGACCAAACTTTCTACTCCAAGCCCCCCACTGCCTTCAGACATGGTCTTCTGGACATATTATTGAATCAGAGAAGACGATGGAGTGACAGAGCAGTCAGCCAATTACATTCATAAGGCCCTGGCGGCTGCCGTAGGATGTGAGCCGAAAGTATGTGAGCAGTAGAGGCCGTTCTCACCACTGGCCCTGGCTTGGGGAGCACGGGCCTTAAGAAATTTGAAAGCTAGACTCTGGAGAGGCTGTCACTCGTCTGGCAGATCAGGTCAACTCTTTGTTTGGATGGCAAGAGTTAAACAGGGATGCCGCTGACTGGAGTAAAGAAAGCCACACTCAAAGCATGTACTTCTGACTTGGGGGGGGGGGCACTCCTGTGATCCTGTCATGTAGGATGTGGAAGCCGGGGGATAGGAGTTCAAGGTTGTCCTTTGCCAGTGAGACAGCTCAAGCCAGCCTGAGCGACATGAGACCAAACATATTTATGCCACCACAGTTCTCTATTCAAGTAACATTTCTGTCTGACCATACTCAGCACTGAACGTGGATGTGAGGCATGGGAGACAGCCAAAACCTGACTCCAGACTCCCGAGTCTTGAGGAAATCAAGTCTTTTTAAACTATGACCGAAGTTTTCAGGAACGGAAACTTCTGTAAAGTCTATCCAATTGGGGAGAAAAAAATAAGTGCAAACTAGCTTTTATAAATCCTCACAAATAAGAAGGTGTTTTGAAAAATACAAGTGAAGAATTTACATGGGTAAAGATTCAAGACCAACATCCAAGACATTTTGTAATTAACAAATATACAACAAGTAGAGGGTCAACAATTGGTTAAGGGACTTGAAGATCATATCTTGGTGCTGGGGAGATGTCTCAGTGGGTTAAGAGTGCTTGTTCTACAAGCATGGGGACCTGAGTTCAAATCCCCATGGGCTATGGGTAAAGTTATTGTTGCCAAGCCTGACAACCTGAACTCAATCCCCAGTACTCATAATGGTGGGAGGTGTGGAATATTCCTTTCCACTGTGCAAACATAAGTCATTGTGATGGGTTTAATAAAGAAGCTGACTGGATAAGGTTAGGTGGGAGAACCAAGCTAAGAGGATGCTGGGAAGAAGGATGCAGTTTCGGGAGTCTTGAGGAGACATGGAGAGAAGCAAGATGAACCAATGAACCTGCCCTATGTACTGAGAAAAGGTAACAAGCCACATGGTAGAACGTAGGTAAGAAATATGGGCTAATTTAAGTTGTAAGAGCTACTTAGTAACAAGCCTAAGCTATCAGCCAAGCATTTATAATTAACAGTAAGTCCCTGTGTGGTTATTTGGGAACTGGCTGGCAGGACAGAGAAATCTGCCTATAGGAAGTATAAAGCCAGCTCCTGCAAGATGTCCTCTGACCTCTACACACACACACAAAACAAACAAACATAATTAAAAACATTGGGAAAGCCAGGCATTGCTGGTCATGGTGGCACATGCCTTTAATCTCAGTACAGTATTCCAGAATCAGAAGCAGATGGTTCCCTGAGAGTTCCAGGCCAGCCTGATCTACATAGAGAGTTCCAGGGCTACAAAGTAACTAAGATGTATGTCTAACATACATAACAAATAATAATAATAAACATGTTAAAGCAGCTATCGCTGTGGCTGTAACCCCAGCACTGCGTTGTGAAGAGATATCCCAGGATTGTGCTGGCAGCCAACCTAGCTGAAACGGTGAGCCCCTTGGTCAGTGAGAGAGCCTGTCTCAAGGCAATAAGGTGGTGAGTGACAGAGCAACACAGCCAGTGTCTTCCTCTGCCTTTCACATGTTCTCACAGGCACACACAGCAGCCCCCGAGTGTGCATACACCACACAAACACACACACACACACACACACGCACGCACGCACGCACGCACGCACGCACGCACGCACACAGACACACACACGAGCACACACACAGAGGAGATAATGAACTGGTACTTTGTACATGATGGCAAGCACTTTCCCATTGAGCTACCTCCCTGGCTCCCCTTTATTTTGTTTTCCTGAAGCAGGGTCTTACACAGCCAAGGTTATACTTGCTCAAACTTGCAATTCCCCTGCCTCAGACCTGATCCCTCAGTGTAGGGATTTCAGGTTAGCAACATTATGCTTAGCTGCTATTAATCTTTTGTTTGTTTGTTTGTTTTTTGTTTTTTGTTTTTTCCCCGAGACAGGGTCTTTCTGTGGCTTTGGAGGCTGTCCTGGAACTAGCTCGTGTAGACCAGGCTGGTCTCAAACTCAGAGATCTGCCTGCCTCTGCCTCCCTAGTGCTAGGATTAAAGGCATGTGCCACCACTGCCCAGCCGCTACTAATCTTTTTTTTAATATTTATTTTAATTGTATGTGAATTGGTGTTTTGTCTGAATGTATTTATCTGTGAGGGTGCCACATGCCCTGGAACTGGAGTTATGGACAGCTGTGAGCTGCCATGTGGGTGCTGGGAATCGAACCTAGGCCCTCAGGAAGAATAGCCAGTGCTCTTAACTGCTGAGCCACCTCTCCAGGCCAACTACTAATCTTTTTTTTTTTTTAAGATTTTATTTATTTATTATGTATACAACATTCTGCTTCCATGTATATCTGCACACCAGAAGAGGGCACCAGATCTCATGACAGATGGTTGTGAGCCACCATGTGGTTGTTGGGAATTGAACCTCTGGAAGAGGAAGGAGCCAGTACTGTTAACCTCTGAGCCATCTCTCCAGCCCACTACTAATCTTTTTAAACAACCCTTCCAACACTTTCTCCTCTCTTTCTCTTGCTTTTTTGTTTTGTTTTTGTTTTTTCAAGACAGGGTTTCTCTGTGTAGCTCTGGAGCCTTTCCTGGAACTCGCTCTGTAGACCAAGCTGGATTCGAACTCACAGAGCTCTGCCTGCCTCTGCCTCCTGAGTTCTGGGAATAAAGGCTTGTTGCCACCACCACCCAGCCTCCCCTCCTCTCATTTTGCTATTTGGCCTGAACCAACTTCAGCTTCACAATCCTCTTTCCTCTGTGTACTGGAGTTCTAGGCATGCATTTTCATGCTTTGGCCATTTCAAAAACTATTTTAGGTCTGGAAAGGTGGCTCAGCAGTTAACAGCACTGGGTGTTCTTCCAGAGGACCCAGGTTGCATTCCCAGTACCCACAAGCAGCTCACAATATCTGTAACTCCAGTTCCAGGGGATCTGATGCCATCTTTTGTGAGTTCCAGGACAACCAGGGCTACACAGAGAAACCCTGTCTCAAAAAACAGAAAATATATATATAATTAATTAATGAAATAAAATCAGTAGATACCCTAGCAGAAGCAGAGACCTTTCCTAGCTAACTCCTCTGTGGAAGATTACTTCCACATAATAAAATCAGTAGACACCCTAGCAGAAGCAGAGGCCTTTCCTAGCTAACTCCTCTGTGGAAGAGTACTTGCACACAGTGGTCTTAGCGCAGTAGCTTTGGTGTCACCCTCACCGGTAAGTCTTACCTGTACTTGCACTTGGCGCTCCTTCTTGACATCAATTAACTGTCTTTGAAGAAATTTGATCTGTCTTCTTCCTTTTTCCTCCCTAAAAGAAGTAAGAATGTTAAGAACAGGGCTTCTCAAATGTTAGGATCATCTGGACATTAAAAATCAGGCTCTTGTCTGGTGGTGGAGGCCTTTTTTTTCTGTCAGATATGCTAAGTAAGTGCTCTACCACCAAGCCATCCTAGTCCTGTGTTGAGTACCTTTGGACCATGCTGAACATTTCTGGGAAGGACAATATATCACGGTGTGCACCTGGCTTTATACTGATTGTTGTGTTGCTTGTTCGATCCAGTGCTGTGGATCGAACTCAGAGCCTATGTATTTACAGAAGTGCTCCCTGACAGCTATACCACATTTAGAACACTGACCAGGTTTCAGTCTGCTCTGCCTTGAGCAGAGGAGCAGTATCTTTACCGTTATTGCAGTACAAGAGATTGACCCAGGGGCTCTGCGTACCAGGCACTCTCCCACTTAACTTAGCCATGCTGGCCTCTAATTTGCAATCCCTCTCCCTCAGTTTCTAGAGCATACGAGATTATAAGCCTGTACCACATACCTAGCAACAGTATCTTTAATATAGTGTGAATTTAACTAAGTCTCCCAAATCTGAACGATTGCTCCCCCTAGGTTAGGAATATGCAGGAGCTCAGAACACAATGGTCAGTCTTCCAGTGGTAACTAGAAAGTACATGTTTGATGCTTGAGAAATCAAGGACTTCTGGAGTTTTATACCACATTACAATACTGCAAAGCAGGGCCTGGAGAGGTGGCTCAGTGGGTAAAGGGCTGGCTATGAAGTGTGGTCCTGAGTTTGGAGACCCAGAACCCACACAAAGCCAGGTGCAGGAGCATCCAGCTGTAACCCACTGTAGGGTAATTCAGCCCTCCAAATGCAGAGACAGGATATCCCTGGAGCAAGCTGGGTAGCCAGACTAGCTGTATAGGTGAGTTCTGGGTTCTGTTGAGAGATTCTTCCTCAAACAATAAGGTGGGAAACACTCAAAAAATACTCCAATGTCAACCTCAGGCCTACACACACACATATATGTACCCAACATATGTACATGCGTCCCCACACAAGCAAACATGCATACACACACATGCACACCACATACACATGCATGTGAGAAAGGAGATACTGCAAAGTAGACCAGGATATTTGGCACAGGTCTGTAGTCCCAGCAACTTTGAGGCAGGAGGAACTCCTAGGGTCTAAGCACTTGCCTAAGTAGCATGGCGAGAGAACATCTAAAGAGAAACTCAGACACATCCATCACCACCCTGACCTTGTGATGGCTTCATGGAAATTCATTCTATTATCTCTTTCTCTGCCCAAGGCTTCCAGGAGACTCTTGAATGAGCCAAAGTCTTGCATCTCCTTCATGGCAGTTGCAATCACATCACTGAAATATTGCCTGCAAAGGGGAACAAACAAGCTCATGAGACACACTGCCCCAGCTTCAAGAAGGGTTACAGAAGCCACACCAGTTAAAAGCTGGAAGGGGATGGACAAGTTGACCCACACCTATAATCCCAGCTTTGGAAGTCGGAAGGGCTGCAACAGTTCAAGGCCACCCTGGACTACATAGCAGCTTCGGGGCCAGCTTAGGCTACAGAGATGTTGTCCCATAAAAAGAGACAGGGGCTGGGGAGATGGCTCAATAGATAAAGTGCTTGCTATGCAAGTGATGAGACCAAAGTTCAGATCCCTGAAACCTGTGTAAATGCAGACGGGTGTGGGAGCCTGCCTGCAATCCAAGTGCTTGGAAGAAAGGAGGCAGGGGACCCTCTGGAGCAAGCTGGCTAACTAAACAGAGTTCTAGGATTGACTGAAAGACTGCCTCGATGAATAAGGTAGAAAAGTGTATGATGAGCCGGGCATTGGTGGCGCACGCCTTTAATCCCAGCACTCGGGAGGCAGAGGCAAGCAGATCTCGGTGAGTTCAAGGCCAGCCTGGTCTCCAGAGCAATTGCCAGGATAGGCTCCAAAGCTACACAGAGAAACCCTGTCTCAAAAAAACAAACAAAAAAAAAAAAAAAAGAAAGAAAGAAGAAAAGTGTATGATGTTGGCTCCTCAACATTAATCTCAGGCCTCTAGATGTACACACACACATATGTGCACATGTACCCACACATGTCCACACATACAAAAGATGCTTATGTATGTGCACATCACACATCAAAAAAGAAAAGAAAACATATGAAGTTGACACATCTCTGCCACACTGTCTTCCAGCTCTTTCTGTTTGTGTTGCTTCTTGTTGCAGAGGGCAGCTGTTAATGCTGAGATGTGTGGCTGCTGGGTTATCTCCACCATTCCTCCCAAGCTCAGGGGACATCTCAGAAGAGGAGGGTGGAAGGAGAGTGAGACAAGAGTCGGGTTCAGGGTTGTGGAATGTGGTCCTCCGGCCATGACAGGCCAAGAAGAAGAAAACCAGAGGCTGGAGAAGCACTGGCTGCTTTTGCAGGGGACCCAGGTTTGGTTCCCAGCATCCACATGGCAGCTCAAAACCGGGCACAAGGCACACACATAGTTCACATACATATATGCAGGCAAAACTCATACACTCATACACACACACACACACACACACACACACACACCAATTAAACCTAATTTTTTAATTTGTTTTGATACAGAGTTGGAAAAATTATATTTATCATTTTGTACTTATCAATAATAATTCATACAAAAAAGAGTTAACAGCTCTATTAAGAAGAGAGTTTCTGCCAGACAGTGATGGCACACACCTTTAATCCAGCACTTAGGAAGCAGAAACAGGCAGATAGATAGATCTCTGTGAGTTCAAAGCCAGCCTGGTCTCCAGAGCGAGTTCCAGGACCGCCTGAGCTACAAAGAGAAACCCTGTCTGGAAAAAAAAAAAAAGAAGGAGAAGGAAGGAAGGAAGGAGGAGGAGGAGGAGGAAGAGGAGGAGGAGGAGAAGGAAGAAGAAGAAAAAGGAAGAAGAAGAAGAAGAAGAAAGAAAGAAAGAAAGAAAGAAAGTTACAAACTAAAATAGGATGTGGTGGTGCAGATCTGTAAGCCCAGAACTCAGTAGAAAGCAAGAGGCCCAGAAATTTTAGGCCTGCCTGGTTTACACAGTGAGTTCAGACCACTTGGGACTAGAGACTGAAAAAGAAAGAACGCGAAGCAAGAAAAGAAAGAAGAGAGGTAGGGAGAGAGGGAGAATGGGAGAAAAAGAAAAAGAAAAGGGGGAAGAAAGAGGTAGGGAGAGTAAGAGGAAAGGGAGAACAAAAGCTCGTTAACTTGTTCAAGATAATACAGCACCATGGGTTATTTGGGGGGGGGGCTGCTTGTTTGTTTTGCTTTTTTTTTATTTGTTTTTGGGGGGTTTTTTGTTTTGTTTTGGTTTCCACCACCAGCCAGCTTGTTTTGGGTTTTTGTTTTTTTGTTTTGTTTTGATTTTTTTCAAGGCAGGGTTTCTCAGTAACTATGGAGCCAGTCCTGGAACTCACTTTGTAGACCAGGCTGGCCTCGAACTCACAGAGATCCACCTGCCTCTGCCTCCAGAGTGTTGGGATCAAAGTCATGTGCCATCACTGCCCAGCTTGTTTTAGTTTATCAAGGCAGGGTTTCTCTGTGTAGCCCTGGTTGTCCTGGAACTTGCTCTGTAGACCAGGCTGGCCATGTTTTAAACTGTGCCACTCCACTTTTGGGACCTTCACAGAAGCAGGTGTCCTCTTTCACACCTGCTGGCTGGTATGATTACCTTCCCTTCTTCTTACCTATCATTCTGAATTTTCTTCAGTGTCTCCAGGTTTATGATGGTCTGCCTGGTAGGCTTCTTTAAGATTAAGTCCTGGCCTCGTTGTTTCATTTCTGACAAAGGAAGAGATAATTTCCTTGTACTTGAGACCGCAGATGGTTTTTCGTGGCTTGCTTTCTGAAAATAAATGGTGTTAAAGATACTGTTTTAGGGGTTAAGAGTACTTATTCTTGCAGAAGACCCATGTGGGGGCTCACAACCATCTGTAACTCCAGTTCCAGGGGACCCACACACCCTCTTCAGACCTCGGTGGGTGTGCATGGTGCACAGACATAGACTCAAACAAAACATTCGTACACATACAAACTAAATAAATCTTAAAAAGAAAGTCTTTAGAGATAATTGTTTTAAAGAGACAACACTTTAAGAGGACTGCTGTGTATTTTTCAACCTTTTTCTCCACTTACATTCCATACTCCAAGAAAACAGACCTTTCTTCAGCCCCATCAAAACATATATCCCACTGTTTCTTGTCTTCCTGCCTCCACACATTCTGTCATCCCCTAACTTAATGCCTGGTGAACTATAAGACAAAGAGCAAAGGTGAAGCTTGGGGCTGAGGGGGTAGGCCCATGATAGAATACATCCTTAACATGTGGAAGGCCCTGGACCCAACCCCAGCATCACAAAGGGTAAAAGAGCAAGAGTCTGATGGTTCTGGCTTGCGATCCTGGCACCTGGGAGGTGGAGGGCAGAAGTCAGGATTTCTGGGTCACCTGGCAGGATATTAAGTTTCAGGCCAGCTTTGGCTAAGGTTGACCCTGCTCAAAACTACAAAGCAACAATCCAAAAATGAACAGTAAAATAACAAATCAACAAAAACCCACAGTGATCTGTAAATTTGCCATATTGTAAGTATAAAATAGCAAGATGAGATCTTGGTTTTTATGAGAGGAGAGACAGTGTCTTAGAGGCATCAGTCCACTTCACACCATTTAATTTATTTATTTATTTATTTATTTATTTATTTATTTATTTACTTTTTTCGGAACACCCAGGCTTTGTGCCTGGGCATGTCAGATTCTGAGCTAATCCCTATATCTTCATTTTCTTTCATCTCAAATTCTCCATGGAATAAGGTTGGTAATAAACATGATCATCCCGGGGCTGGAGTTCCTGAGTTCAATTCCCGGCAACCACATGGTGGCTCACAACCAACTGTAATGAGATCTTGTGCCCTCTGCTGGCGTGTAGGGACACATGCAGGCAAAACACAATATACACAGACAGCGTAGTGGCATGGACCTGTGGTCATGGGTAAGGAAGGCTGAGTGGAGTCACGAGAGAACTCACTGGGCAACACAGTGAGACAGACAACAAAACAATATAAAACTATACAATATAAACAAATATAAAACAATATAAAACTACAATAATACAAATACAAATAATACAAATACAAATAATAATACAATAATACAAATACAAATAATACTACAATAATACAAAACAATATAAAACTATACAAAATAAAAGGAGAATTGTACTAAAAAGTGAAAATTGGTACCAAATTTAGTAATGTATTTCAGATCCTGAGGGCTATATAAGAAAAGCCAAAATATTTTTCAGACCTAAATTCAAGTACTGAGGAACCACAAGACATCATTTGTCTCCCAATTGATTCTTAACCTGTGGCTAAATGCTTGGGCTACTGACAGTAACGACACTTTTGGACTGTAAAGCCAGCTTCAGTGTCTCAATCCTGGCTCTGTTTTTTACTAAAATTTATCTGTTTTTTATCTAAAATTTCTGTGCTGCTGTTTTCTCATTGGCAAAATAAACAGCTAATGTTTTAGAAACTATACAAGGAGGGGGAATGGAAATGTAGGAGAAAATGTGGTAATATTCTTTGTCTACTGACCCTACTCTCTTGTCCCCAGACCTCAAACTCCCTTCTCCCTCATTGTGGTCCCCTCTACTCTCCTGTCCTGGGTGAGCGTATATATAAGTTCAGATCTCACCTATGAGAGAATACACACACACACACACACACACACACACAATTCAAAATAAAAGTGAATTGTTTTAAGGGGAAAAAATCACAAGAAGGGCTCCTATTATGCCAGAAAATCTTGTATGTGAAATATCACTATCATAGCTGGGCGTTGGTGGCGCACGCCTTTAATCCCAGCACTCGGGAGGCAGAGGCAGGAGGATCTCTTGATAATTAGAGGAAAAATTAGTATCCTTCTATTAGGATGAACGTCTCTGTTAGACATGGAAAACAATGTACTCTCTCTCCAACATAGTGGATTTTACTGGTCACAAGATCATAAATAATATACTCTGTACAAATTATATTTTTAATTAATTATTTTTTAAATAGGCTCTCTCTGTATATCTCTGGCTGACCTGGAACTTGCTCTGTAGACCAGGCCATTCTCAAACGCAGAGATCCACCCACCTCTGCCTTCCAAGTGCTGGGATTAAAGGCATGCACCACCACTACCTGGCAAAAATGTGTTTTTAAATTACATTTATAGGATTGGAGAGATGGCTCAGAGATTAAGAGCATTTGCTGTTCTAGTAGAGAACCCAGCACCCACATTTCATCTTGCAACCATCTGTAACTCCAGATCTAAAGGATCCATAGCCCTCTTCTGGCTTCCTTGGGCACCAGGCATGTATATGGTGAACATCCATACATTCAGATAAAACACCCATACACATAAAGAAACTTTCTATGTAGAGCAGGAAGTTACTGGCCTCAAATTCCCTGCAATTTTCTCATCTCTTCATCGCCAGTGCTGAGATTACAGATATGAGCTCAGTGGGGCCTGGAAGTCCACATCACCATTGAAAATATAACTGTGCCCAGATATTTGCAAATGTGCCCAGATATTTGCAAAAGCAGAATGTGACATATTCAGAAACAACAACAGAGTTGTTTTTGATTAAAGAAATGTTGACAGGGTCCAGATGCATTTCCTCCCCGCTTAGTGTCCACTTGGCTTTTAGCAACCAAGAAATACAAGATAGGTGGGACATTTGATCTCTGCAAACTGTGATCTCAGTATATGCACGACATCCAGAGGATAGGTTTCTCAGCACCCCTGGATACTCAAGCTCCTTAAATAAAGCTGGTGCAATATTAGCATACAATCTAGGCAAATGTGCTCTATGTTTTAAATAGGCTCTAGATTTCCTATAACGGTGAATGCAATGTACAATAGCTATTATATTGAATTGTTTAGGAATAGTGATGGGGATGGGGGGAGGGGAGTCTAACATATCCAGTAAAGACCAAACTTTTTCCAAATATTTTTTTTTGTCAGAGATTGGCTGCTGTCTGCTGTATTTACACAGACTTAGCTTTGGGCCTTATGGACTAATGCCAATATATTGCAAAAGCAAACTGTGCTTCCTGAGCTATATGCCACTTGTTCCATTTTGAGCGTGGACCTCAAATAACTGTGATATGGCCTTTTATCCAATGTAAAGGTGTTGCTTCCCAAGCTAAGTCTAATGACACGAGTAGCACAGATACTGTAGAGGTCAAAAGGGAAGAGAAGATGGGATGGAAGGAGGCAAGGGTGCTGACCTGGGAGATGCTCTGCTTTCTTTCATATGGGACGGGAATGATGTAGCCTAGAATAGAAAGCTGGTCGATGACGTCCTCCATAATGGTAGAGACCCTCAGCACATCTAGAAGGGACAGGTAATCTATGACTTCTGGGGCGGTTTCTTCCTCCTCTTCTTCTTCTAGTTCTTCTTCTAAAGATCCAGGAGGTTCTCCTGTCACCACCATGGTCACCTCAGAATGCAAAGCTTCTGAAGATGAGTCCAAGGCTTCCAAGTGGTCCCTAAGGCCAGGAGAATAGAAAGATTAAGTCAGTGACTAAAGAGGAAATATTACTTACCCTCAAAATTACCGGTAGCATGTAAATTGACTCCTGTGAGGTTCACATTTTCATATAACATAACCTATTGAAAAACAAAGGCAGGCATTTGTGGGGGATTCTGCCAAAGACCCTCCAGTAGGACCAGCTGAAGACAATGTCCTGCCCAGTAAAGCTGTGCCGTCTATGCTTTCTGGCTACGATAATGCAAATTGAAATTGAGCCACAATTAACTTGATCTGAAAGCAGCATGTTTGGATGCTAATCAAAAGTGCCTCCTGGTTACTGAAAGACAGGCAACGGTAGCCAGCCACCAAGGTGGCCCCAATAACTCTTTCTGGTGTTTATGCCCATGTGTGATTTTCCCTACAGTGAGAGAGAGTGTGTTTTCCACAGCAAGTAGTAAATAACATGACAGCTTTGATCTCACTCCAAAGCTCACTCCCAGGGGAGCAGTGTGTCTTGTCTGCCCCTGGTCAACTTCAACCTCCTGGTTAATATTGTCAACTTGACTGGATCTAGACTCACCAGATAAACCTCCAGGCATTGTTGTGGAGGATTTTCTAGTACAGGGTTACTTGAGATGAGAAGACTCACCGTAAATGGACTGAATATGGGCTGGAGAGATTTGCTCAGAGGTTAAGAGCACTGACTGCTCTTGCAGAGGTCCTGGGTTCAATTCCCAGCACCCACATGGCAGCTCACAACCATCTGTAATTACAGTTCCAGAGGACCCAAGATCCATGGCACAACATCAATACACATAAAAATAAATGTTTTTTTTTTTTAAACTGGACTCAATAAAAAAAGGTGAAATCCAGCTGAGCCTCAGCACCCATCTCGCTCTCTGCCTCTTTCTCTCTGCCTCTCTCTCCCTCTGTCTCTCCCTCCCTCCCTCTCTCTCCCTGTCTCTCTCTCCATCTCTCTTTCCCCCTCTGAGTCTTTCTGCGTCTGTCTCTCTATCTCCCTCTCTCCTCTCCCCCCACTCTCCCACCTCTATCTCTCTGTCTGCCTCCTGACTGTGGATGTCATGTGACCAGTCCTTTCTGCTCCTGATGCCATGCCTTCCCCTCCATAACAGACTCTCCCGGAAAGTGTAAGCCAAAACAAAGCTTTTCACTTCTTCCTTTAAACTGCTTCTTGCCCGGTATTTTGTTACAGCAATGAGAGAACTAACCAGCACAGACCCCAAACCAGGGCCATTTGTTAAGTTGTTCCTGAACTCCCAATCCACAGGAACTCTGAGATGGTAGAACTTTATAGTTTAGTTCATTAAAAATTTTTTTGGGGAGGTTTGTACCAGGCTTTTTCTTTTGGGCCACTAACCAGCTCCCAAATCATGACACAGAGACTTATTAGTTATGAATGCTCAGCCTAGCTTAGGCTCATTTCTGGCTAGCTTTTTAAACTTAATCTGTTTCTCTTCATCTATATTTTGTCTTGAGGATTTCTACCTTTCTTTCTTCTGTATATCTTTCACTCTTTCTCCTGTCTGACTGGCAGCTGCCCGGCTTCTGGCCCTGAGAGTGGCCCTCTCTTTCTCCCTTTTTCTCTCTGTTCTTCTCTTGCTCTTCTCTCTCAAGCCTAGATATCCCCCTATTTATTCTCTGTACCTGGCATCCCCGCCTCTCCTTTCTCTGCCTAGCTATTGACCATTCAGCTCTTTATTAGACCAGTCAGGTGCCTTAGGCAGGCAAGGGGAAACAAATGCAACACATCTCTACATAGTTAAACAAATGCAGCATAAACAAAAGTAACACACCTTTGCACAGTTAAAGGAATATTCCATAGCAAAACCAAATGTGACACATCTTTGCCTAGTTAAAGTAATATTCACAACAGTGGTTTGTTACACAGTAACAGATAAATAATCCACAGAATTTAATTTTTACACATAATGTCATACTATATGTACAAACTGGAATTTGAACGTACCCGTCCATTTTTCCTGAGTTACTTCTGTTGTCCTCTGGGGTAGATTTATAATTTCACAAGAATGCAGTAAGCTTAAATGGGAAAGAAATGCCATTAGTTCAAGAGAATGCTGAATCCTGTTTTTTTTTTTATTTATTTTTTATTCCCGTGCTCTTTCACTAGGAGAAAAAAAAAATGCAGAATTACAAGAGCTATGGTTTGTCTCCTTCTCCTTAGTGGAGCAGACTCATGTGGTGAGGCTTATTTAGTGGTTGGCTTTATTACTGGTCTACCAAACAGAAGATACATGCAACGCAGCCTTTTGCCTCTTCTTAAGGTAATTTAAGTACAATTTTAGTATGTTTCATTGTATCCTGATTTTGAATTGGTAATCACTATAGAACAGATTTAGTTATTATTTTTCTATTATTCTCTCCTCTATATTGAATTAAATGAATCTACCCTGTTCTGTCAGATTATAGAATTTATTGTACCTTGACTTAGAACAATTGAGATCACATTTAGAAATACTATATTATTTATTTATTTTTTAAGACTGTATTTTTTTAAGCCAGGCGTTGGTGGCATACGCCTTTAATCCCAGCACTCACGAGGCAGAGGCAGGCGGTTATCTGTGAGTTCGAGACCAGCCTGGTCTACAAGAGCTAGTTCCAGGACATCCTCCAAAGCCACAGGGAAACCTTGTCTGGAAAAACCAAAAAAAAAAAAATGACTATTTTTTAAAAATTAATTAATTTTTTATGTGCATTGGTGTTTTGCCTGCATGTGTGTCTGTGTGAGGATGCCAGACCCCCTGGAACCAGAGTTATAGATAGTTGTGAGCTGCCATATGGGTGCTAGGAATTGAACCTAAGTCTTCTGGAAGGGCAGTCAGTGCTCTTAATTGCTGAGCCATCATCTCTCCAGCCCCAGAAAAACTATATTAACCCTGGAAATCAGTTTAATAAGTTATTATCCTTCAGAGCTGGGCATGGTGGCAAAAATCTGTAATCCCAGTACTTGGAAAGGGGAGGGTGAAGAATCAGGAGTTCAAGGCCATCCTTGGGTTAACATAGGGAGTTTGGTAAGCTATGTGAGACCTTGTCTTTGTTGCTAATGTTTATTTTTTTTACTTATGTGTGTGTGCCTGTTTGGCCCTATGTTCACCCCATGGACATACAGAAGACCAGAAGATTCCCTAAAATTGAAATTATAGGTCATTGTGAGCCATGTGATGTAGATACAAGATCTCTGTAAAAGCAATATGTGCTCTTAACCATTGAGCCATCTCTCCAGCCTAGTTGCTCTTTAAAATGGTCTAGAAGAGGTAATTCCAGGACAGCCTTCAAAGCCACAGAAAAAGCCTGTCTCGAAAAAAACAAAACAAAACAAATTGCATATGAATCTAGTTCTAGATCTGAGGCTCTCCTCTGACCCCTGAAAACACCCACATACATGTGACATACATATGTGTACATAAACAGTGTTTTGGTTTTCAAGACAGGGTTTCTCTGTGTAGCCCTGGTTGTCCTGGAATTTTCTCTGTAGACCAGGCCGGCCTTGAATTCACAGAGATCTACCTCACGAGTGTTGGGATTAAAGGAAGGCTGGTGCCACCACCACCGGGCTTCATAAACAATTTTTGTTGGTTGGTTGGTTGGTTGGTTTAAGGAAGTTATCACCTTTTAACATACCATATGCTCTATCTGATTGTTGTCTTGTGATTTTTTTCTGGGGGGGGGCGGGCATGAGTGAGTGAAGGGTCCTACTCTGTAGCCCAGGATATCCTTGTACACATTATGTCCCTCTGACTGGCCTGAAAACATAAAGCAATCTTCATACTTCAGTCTTACAGACACAAGAGCCAAAGTGCCCAGCCTGCTCCTCCATGCAGGCTGCAAGAGGGGGAAGTTTTTGCTGTTTACTGCAGTGCCCTCAAGACTACACCATTCTCTGTAGTGGCAGTCATGCAGTACTTGCTGAATAAATGAACGAATCCATCAGTCAGCGCAGAAGAATGTGAATCTGAGTCTACTAAATTCATCCTCACCTGACAAGTAAAACAACGGAGGAATGAATATATCTATCTCTCACCTTCCCCACTCCCTCTCCCCCTTTTTAGAGGGGTCTCCTAGCTCAGGCTGACTAGCAGTCCCTGTGTAGCCTTCGAACTATTCTCCTGGTTGCGCACCCACAATACTGGGATTACAAACAAGCACCGCGACCCGCGGTTTGCCTCGTATGTTGCCCTAGTTTAACATGGGTCCTTGCTATCTAACTCAGTCCGGCCTCGAATTTGTGACGCGATACCTCAGGCTCCGGAATGAGTGCTGAGATTAACAGGCAGGAGTCACCACGCCCTGTTTGTTTTCGTGAAAGATAAAGGCTTAGATAAGAGAAAAGACGAGAGCTTCCCCTGCCTTCGTGCTCCAGGTTTTTCTGTCCTCCATTCAAGGAAGAGGGAAAAAAAACCCTCCTTTTCCTCACCTTTCCACCAGCCCGGCAGGAGGCGGGACCCAAACTAAGGCGTAGCTATGGCAACGCGCAGGCTTCTTTTTTTTTTTCCGTTAGGACCTTTGCCTTTTTCTTAGTCGACTACAATTTTGCCTTTTTTTCCCCCCCGAAGTACTACGTGTCGCCGCTTAGAAAGTTGAAAGAACAGGAAAAGAAAGTAAAGTTCCTGAGCGCGGCTTGTCCGAGTCGAGCCTCTCTCCCTGATAGCTCTCCGGCAGAGTGCAAGCGGCCTAAGCGCGGCGAGGGGCGGGGCGTGCATCCCACAAGGCCGCGCGGCGGGCCTTGCCTTCCTCTTTCCGCCATCTTGGCGCCGGTGGAGGTGAGCGAGGCTCCCGCTGCTCAACTTTGGGGGCCGGTTGCTGGGGTGGGTTTGTCTGCGCCGCTCCCCGAGACCCCCCTGCACCTCGGAGGCCCTGACCGCCGTCCATTTCTGGGGACTCCAGGAAGAGGGAGGGCGGGATGGCGGAGATGAGGGACCGATGGTGTTGAGGCCCCCGGCCGTGGGGAGGGAGGCTCGCAGGTCCCGGCTGCTCCTCGGGCTCCGGAGGCTGCATTTCGTCCGTCTTGCTTGCCCGGGAAGCGGTGATGCCTAGAGGCTGCTTTCCCCGAGCTGGACCTTGTGCGTGTTACCTGTGCATTCTGCAGAGTTTTGCCAACTGGCTTAGGTTTGCCTCTGGGGTTTCTACAAGTTAGATCTTGAGTCTTCCCCGAACCTAGCTTTTCCAGGTTCCGGAGTAGTGAGTTGTCGTCATTCATTCTCAGAAGTCTTGAGTATTTTTGCCAGGCTCTACCTCTGTAGCTGGTATGGCAGAGTTAGGAGTTCCCAGTACTTGAAGTGCTACTGAATTCGCCCAACGTGCTCCAGAAAAGGAGTTGACAGGTGGGAAACGTGCTCCACGGCTCTAACTTGAGATCTTGTTTGTTTTCAGGCCTGCTGGGAACAGGACTTCTAAAAGGCAAACATGTCTGGAAGGTATGAGACTCGGTTTTTCCTTTTTTTTTTTTTTTTAAATCTTAACTAGATGTGAAACCCAGGTTTAAAATCATGCGGGAGGGGAACAAGATAATTTGCTTTCCATAGCTGTTGTAAGAATTCTTCAAAACAAGTCACGGTGGTTTGCCAGAAGTTAAATGAACAGTTGTAAAGTTTATTCATAATGTCTGTCTTGTGTGTCTTAGGCTGTGGTGCAAGGCCATTTTTGCTGGCTATAAGCGAGGTCTCCGGAACCAGAGAGAGCACACAGCTCTTCTCAAAATTGAAGGTGTTTATGCCCGAGATGAAACGGAATTCTACTTGGGCAAGAGATGTGCTTACGTGTATAAAGCAAAAAAGTAAGTGTGTTTGGATGCCTTTCAATTTCTGTTTGGTCCCCCTCATTTTTCTACTGAAAGAGTAGAGGTGTTAGTGTAGATTGTTGCTGTTGTTGATTTGCTTAGAGGCCACAAGGAGGAACTTAAAGGAAATTATAGAAGAATTATGTTGTCGGTGATAGTGGATATAGGGAACTTTGGCTTTTAGAAAAATTACAGTTGTAGAAAGGCCCAGGGTTCAGTCTCTAACATGGTTTTAAAGGAAAGATTAAGGCTCCCACCTCCCAAAGGTCCGACAGAATACTTGTCAATGCATCTTGGCTTATTTTAATTCCTTAGGATATTTTTGTGTTGTGTGTTTTTTTTTTTTTTTAAGTGTGTGTGTGTGGTTTTCTTGTTTTGCTTTTTTTTTTCCCCCTCTCCAGACAGGGTTTCTCTTTATTGCTTTGGAGCCTGTCCTGAACTCCCTCTGTAGACCAGATCTAACTGTCTGTGCCCCCTCCCACCAAGTGCTGGGATTAAAGGCTTGTGCCACCACTGCCAAGTGTGTGTGTTTTAAGATGAAGACTGCATCTCTTGGCCCTCTTTTCCTACTGGGAATTGATTATAAGGCCTTATACACATTTTAAGGTCATGAGTATGTTCAAACCCCAATGATGCTTGCCTTTAATGCCAGCATTTGGGAGGCAGAGTGCAGGGCATCCACGTCTCCATTTTTTTTTCTTTTATCTCCAGTAGACTTCACTGTGTATTTCAAAACTTACTGTTTTTCAAAACTTTTCCTGTTTTTAGCACATGTAGGTCTTTCTGTCTTTAGTGGTCATCATCTTATAAAATAAAATGTTTGGCATATATGAACTGTTGGATGAAAATACTCTATATATTCCAATTTCCTAAATAGTTCTTTGTGGAAAACTAGAGGTGAAAGCTGGGTCTTAGAAAATAGCTGAGTTTGTGTCAGGTATATGTTAGTGCCGGGCTCTCATGCTTCTTGTATCCTTTTAAAACCAGCAACACAGTTACACCCGGGGGCAAACCAAACAAAACCAGAGTGATCTGGGGGAAAGTAACCAGGGCCCATGGAAACAGTGGCATGGTTCGTGCCAAATTCCGAAGCAACCTTCCTGCAAAAGCCATTGGACACAGAATCCGTGTGGTAAGTACAAACAGCAAAATAAATGGCTCTTTTCATCACCAACAGTTCAAGGGTGGACTTTGAAGGTTTTTGTGAGTGTAAAACTGAATTGGTGACATAAGGGAAAAGTTGCATGGAGCCTCTGTTGATTATTGTAGAGAAAAGCAAGGTGAAAGCAGGTGCTCAGGTGCTTATGTGAGTCTCAGATTTTGCTGAAGCTAACTGTTAAGAGAAATATCTTGGGCAGGTTTTGGTTATCTCTTTGAGACAGGTCTCGCTGTAGCTCTGGTTGACTGGGGCTTGTTACATGGACAAGGCTAATCTTTATTTTATTTGAGACAGGGTCTCATTGAGTTGTCCAGGCTTGTCTTGAAACTCATGATAGCCCAGCCAGGCCTTGAACTTAAAACTCCTGATTTAGCCTTCCAAGTACCTGGGATTTCAGGCCAGTCCTACCAGGCTTGCCTTGTGTCATATGTTTGGGGGTGTGTGGGAGGGATTCTATGATGAGTGTTACCCCGTCTATCATGTTTGTCAGTACTACCAGAATATGTGGGAAAACATATTCATTCTAGGTCTCGGGACTTGGGCCTTTGTCTTAGACATAGAATGATGAGATTTAGCAAGGCAGTGGTGACACACACCTTTGATCCCAGCACTAGGGAGAGGCAAAAGGCAGGCTGATCTCTGTAGTTATAAGCCAACCTGGTCTACAGAGCAAGTTCTAGGACAATCAGGGCTCTTACACAGAGAAACCCTGTCTCAATAAAAAAGAAAGGAAAAATCCAAGAAAGAGAGATGAGATTTTTGTCACATGTCTTTAGAGTCCACTTACACTATAATGATGATGATGTTAGGCTTAGTGCCACCATATCTGACTCTTAGTATTATATTTTGGCGATGTTACTTTACATTTATTGGGGGGGAGCCATATGTGAAGGTTAAAGGACAATTTTTTGAAGTCAGCTCTTCTACTATGGCAGTTCTAAGAAATCAAACTCACATGGTCAGTCTTGGTGTTGAGTTCCTGTACCCACTGAGCCATTTCACCATCCCTTGAAAATTTTTGTTGCTGTTTCGGGCCTAGGGAGGATAAAGTCAGGCTTTGGGCCCAGTTATAGTTAAAATTCATAATGCCTTGTGCTCACTAAGTATGGGGTGGAGAGGTGCTGGTTGCTGTACAAAATGCAGTCCTAAAAGTTCTTTCTCCAGAAGCCACATAAAAAATTCAGGTACAGCAGTGTGTCTGAAATTCTAGCACTGGGTAGACAAGATCCTTGGTGTTTATGGGACAGCCCATGAACTCTAGCATCACTCAATGAGAGACTTCCCTATCAGAGTGAAAAGCTGTTGATGAAAATGAATGCCACAAGTAGATGAGCATGTATATATGAAGATTGTTAGCACCTAAGCATGTTTCCTAAAGGCCAAATGTCTTACAAACTAAACTTCCTTAATATCAGGATATTTATCCTTATTGTGTATGCAATGATTTGTAGGTTTGTATGTATCATTCACCTAATGTTTTTATGTTTTTCTGTTTCCCTAGATGCTGTACCCTTCCAGGATTTAAACTAATGAAAAGTAAATAAATAAAAGTGGATTTGTGCTCTTGTATTTTTTTTTCCACCAGAACTTTCCTAAAAGTTTCCCTGTGTTTAAGGTGATGGAAGTTGTCCAGTATTGTCAGAGTGTAAGAAAATTCTATATAATTGTCAGTATTGGCTAAATAGCCATGTTTAAAAGATCCCTTGTCACCAGGTGGTAGCAGTGCACAACTTTAGTCCCAGCAGAAGATTTGAAGGGACACAGGGGCAGCCTGGTCTACAGAGTGAGTTTCGGGACAGCCAAGGCTATACAGAGGAACCCTGTCTCAAAATCCCCAAAACAAAGTTCTGTCGATGCTCGTGTAGGGTATTTGAGGCCAGTTAGCACTGGACAGAGAGCCTGTCTCAAAGTTTTATGTACATTAATGCTGGGGCATAGTGGATGGGCAAATAAGCTTTGGGAAAGTGTTTCAGTTCTGGACATAGGAGACAGAAGCATTGAATCATCTTGGGCCTGGGGTGGAATTCAGTGAAGCACTTGGGTGACATGCCCTGAGTTTGGGAACCATGATGGACAGTACATGTTCATATAGGTAAGAAAAGTTCGGTGCGGAGTTAGGAAAAACTTGAATGGTGCTTCTCTTCGTGTTTGTTGCCTCGTTTGGATAAACTAGAGGGTTAATTTGGAATTGGTGTATGGGAGTAAATGTGCATTTCGTGTTTTTATGCCTTGGAAAATGGCTTTTGATTTTTATTTTAAAGCATGGTGCAGGACTGATAACATGAGTGAGTAGGGCTCTAAATACTTGTGATTTTGAGGATGTGCTAGAAAATAGGAAGGTGTCTTTGGTGTTAATTGCTAGCAAGTCCTTTTATTAGCCAGTCTTTACACTGGAGTGTAATTGTGTACAACGTCCTGAATTCTCTTCCCACAGTAAATGAATGTGCCAAAAGACCAAGGTGGGACAAAGACTAGTTCAAGCTGCAAATCCTAGTTGGAAGTGATTCCAGAGTAGTGATTTGGGAAGCAGTGGGTCAGCTGGGTTCTCCATCAGATTGGAAATGTAGGTTAGCTCACTAGATCCCTAAAGGAGTCACATTGGAAAAATCTAGGTTTCAAGAAAGTGCCAATCTTGGGGTTACCTCAAATGAAAATTATTTTTCCAAAAAGCCAACAAAGCAACTGTGTCTTTCTCAGTAAAGATGTCAGCAGAGCAGGGCAGTGGTGGCTCATGCCTTTCATCCCAGAAGCCATGCAGACTCTGAGTTTGAGGCCAACCTGGTTTGAGTTCCAGGACAGGTTCCAAAGCTACACAGAGAAATGCTGCTTTGAAAAGAAAAATAGATGTGGCCAGCAACCCCAGGAATAGAAAAAGGAAATAGGGTGTAATGTAAAAGGCACATAGTGGGGGAATTAGGTGTCTCAGGACAAAGTTCTTGGGAAACAAGGCATGAACAAAGCCTTTCAAATTTCTTATGACTTGGGTGAGACTTTTACCCATTGTGGTCATGGAAATTAACGTGTAAAAAGATTAATATGTTTGAATTATCTTGGCAACCTTCTATAAATTGAAGTCAAGTGGGATTTGTGAACTTACACTTTGGAGAAGTAGAGTAAGCTCCATAAACACTGATTTAATTCTTTGAAGGCTGCATAGATGTTTGCAAGGTTGGGGAGCCTGCCATTTGAAGTGAGTTTAAGTGTGGTGCACGCCTTTAATTCCAGCAGAGGGAGGCGGATCCCTGAGTTCGAGGCCAGCCTGGTCTACAAGAGGTAGTTTCAAGATAGCCTTCAAAGCCACAGAGGAACCCTGTCTCGAAAAACAAAACAACAACAACAAAAATAAATAAAAATTGAAGCGTCTGGCGCTGTGGGCAATGAACAGTGGATAAGGTAGTATTGGAGGGGTTAGTAAGAATTAGGCATTTGAGCTAAATAAAGTCGAACCTCTTTAAGGTATAAGAAATTATTTATATATGCCGTGTCAAGTGAGTTGTGCGAAGGTACCCAACTTTTTCAGGCTTAATATTGGGTAGTCAGGTTTCCCTAAGAATCCCAAACCCCTGAGTAGGTTGTACAGGCGGCTTTGGCGGTTAAGCGATGGGGCTGAGAACATGTGGTTCGCAGGACTGTTGTCAGCTGTTAGTCCGGGTCCCGGCAGCCGGCCGGTACGCTTGCTTCCAGTGAACGAAGTAGGACAAGCGGCTTCCGAGGACGCCGCCCCCCACGCCCATCCGCTCCGCACCGATCCCCGCTCGCCCTGGGTTCCCACAGCTCAGGTCACGTGGGCGGCCCGGCGGTGTTCATTGGCCATCGCTCCGCTCGCGCGGACGCCGCTGCCCTCGCCCTCCGCTGGACCCGGCGAGATGCCGGCCAATGGCGAGGCTGCTGAGGCCCCGCCACCTGTCCGCGGCGAGGGCGGGCGGCGGCGGGGAGGCGTCGCACTCCATGGTAACGACGCCGGCCCGAAGATGGCGGCCGCTGGCGTTGGAGCGGCGGGCGGCCCGGGAGCAGGGCCGCGGGGCCGCTGGGGCGGCTGCCTGTGGGTGCGAGGCGTCCTGCTCGTGCTGGGCGGGCTCCCGGCCGGCGCCGCGGCTGCTCCGATATCCCTGAGCACTTCGCCTCCGTGTCGGCATCACGTCCCTTCTGACACCGAGGTAGGGGGAAGCGGGGTGCGAGCGGGCCGGGCGAGGGAGTGCCGGATTAACACGGAGGGTGTGGCGTCCGCGGCGCCCGCCCGCCCTGCTGCTGCAGGTGCCCTGCGGGAGAAAGCCAGCGCCCGGGCCGCCGTCGGCCCCTGCTCCGGGCAGAGCGCCTGACTTAGGCGCTTGTCCCCCTCCCGTTCCGCTTAGCCACTAGTAGCCCCACAAACTTGGGCGAGCACCAGAATAACCGAAGCACTTGTTAAAACAGATTGCTGCCCTGCTCCCTCACTTTCTGACTCAGGAGGTCTGGCATGGGTCCTCACAGTTCAGATTCCTAGACACTGATGCTGCTCACCCGAGCACCACACCGGGAACCACTCACTAATCTGAAGATTTCGGAAGCAGCTTACCGGAGAACCAGACAGAGCTGTTGGAGGGCTACTGAGAGGTCTCTGGAGACAAAGTTCAGCATTTGTTTTCTAGTTATTACCGCTTTGCTGCCTTTATCCCATCCCTCTAGCCCTGCCAAGTCTGTTCCTCCTTCCACTAGTTTCTCTCCCACTCTAAATTCCTTTAGTCTTGTTCAAGTCTCAACCTCAGATCTGCCTAACCGAACCAGCCCGGTAGAGCGTTCTTTCCAGTTCCACAGAACGCCTTATCTGCCCTGCATTCTGGCGCTTAAGCAGGTTCTACTCTGGTTACACTTAGCTCAACGTAATTTAGTTCTAAGGTTCCTTGAGATAACATTTGTGTTGTACTGAGCCCTTCCTCGGAGGCAGCCCCATGGTTACTACTACTACTATTCTGTGAGTAAACAAGGGACAATACTTGAGATGGGACTGCATGGTGGGGTTGGCATTTAGTGTGTACCTAGAAAGCTTTAGAATCTTTAACTAGAGAAACCGTTGCAGCCCAGAAATCTCACTCTACTCATTTTGTAGTAATTTCCAATAATGTTGTATGCAGCTCAGGCTAGCCAGGAATTGGAGGATGCTGGTGATCTGGTAAACCTGCCCCTATCTCAGTCACCGTGTACCTACATTCAGGGTTTTAGCTTTTATCATGACCTTGTATTTCAGATGGATTATTTTACATATCTTATTGACACAGGGTCTCTTTCTATAACACAGGCTAGCCTGGCACTCACTATGTTGCCCAAGCTGGCTTCTAAGTCGCATAGAATAATATCTTTTTTTTTTTTTTTTTTTTTTTTTTTTTTTTTTTTTTTTTCCCAAAGGTTTTTTTTTGGTTTTTCGAGACAAGGTTTCTCTGTGGCTTTAGAGGCTGTCCTGGAACTAGCTCGTGTAGACCAGGCTGGTCTCAAACTCACAGAGATCCGCCTGCCTCTGCCTGTCTAGTGCTGGGATTAAAGGTGTGCTCCACTAACGCCCATCAGAATAATATCTCTTAATGCTATCTGATGTTTTTGTTGTCTCCAGACTTCTTTCTTTAAGACTGTAGTCCAGTCTTAATGCTATCTGATGTTTTTGTTGTCTCCAGACTTCTTTCTTTAAGACTGTAGTCCAGACTGGCTAGAACTTGCTGTGTAGCTCTGGCTTACCTTGAACTCCCGTATTCCCTTGCCTTTCCAGAGTGCTGGGGTTATAAATGTGCGGCATCACTCCTGGCTCTGGTCTTTTATCCTCTCCAGTGAGCTTGTCATTTTAGTTGGTGTTCCTTTAAGCCTCAATCCCTTCTGTTTGGTTCTTTCCATCAGTGCCTGCTGGGCTTATTCCCCTTTAAACCTTTGAGCACATGAGAGCTTCATTACCAAAGTTGTTTCCGTTCAGGTCTGTGGGGTTGGATGCTGCTTACTGCTCTTTTTTCCTCAGCACAAGTCACGCTCTTCTGTTCTCAGGACTGTGAGTTTTCATTGGGTAGTGGACTCTGTGGGCTTCCCCTCTGGCTGTCATTCTCCTATAACTCTGTGGTTCTGTAAGATCTGAACACTTCTACCCACCAAGCTTGTAAGGCTCTGCATTCTGCCACCTATTCAAAACCAGAATGGGAAGTGTTCTCGGGGAAGAAGTAACCTTACAAGTCAGAGGTTCTCTCTCTCTCTCTCTCTCTCTCTCTCTCTCTCTCTCTCTCTCTCTCTTGTGTGTGTGTGTGTGTGTGTGTGTGTAAATGTGTATATACATATATTTTTAATATTTATTTTATGTTCATTAGTGTTTTGCTGGCATGCATGTCTGTGTGAGGATGTTGGATGCACTGGAACAGGAGTTATAGACAGTTGTGAGCTGCTATGTGGGTGCTGGGAATTGAACTCAGGTCCTCTAGAAGAGCAGTCAGTACCCCTAACCACTGAGCCATCCTGGCTTCCAGAAATGTATGTTAGTGCTGAGCTTTATGTTCTGGATTCTGCAGTCTCTATGTGGCCTATTTTATATATCAGGTCCCCTGTAACCAGAATTACAGATAGTTGTGAGCTGCCATGTGGGTGCTGAGAATTGAACCCTGAGTCCTCTAGGAGAGCAGCCAGTGCTCTTAACCACTGAGCTATGTCTCTAGCCCATAAACCTTGGCAATTTTTATTTCTCCTAAGCTAAGGAGAGTCATGTAAATGAGAGCTAGGAAAAGATAAATGAAACATTCTCTTGTAGGAAGTTTTTGTGCTTTTTAAAAAAGTAACTTAAGGTTCTTTAGGGCTGGGGTAATGGCTCATTTGGTGAAGTACTTGCCTTTCAAGCCTGAGGGCCTGAGTTTGGTGTCCTAGAGCCCAGGTTAAAAAGACAAACTGAGCTGGGCAGTGGTGACGCATGCCTTTAATCCCAGCCCTCAGAGACAGAGGCAGAGGCAGGCAGATCTCTGTGAGTTTGAGTTCCAGGACAGCCAGGGATACACGATGAAACCCTGTCTCAAAGGGGGAAAAAAAATGGAGTGTGAAGATTCTACTTATAACCCTAGCCTTGGGGAAGCAGAGACAAAGGGACCGCTGGGGTTTACTGGTCAAACAGCCTAGACTGCTTGGCAACTTCCAAGCCCATGAGAGACCCTGTCTCAAAATACAAGGTGGAGGGCATTTGTCTACACATTTATGTGCACACATGTGTTATGCATCTATATGTTTGCACACACACACACAAACACAGACACACACATAAACACACATGAACCCCCATACATACACGCTTATACTTTTAGTCTCTTGTCATTTCTTTCCTATTTTGAGATAAGGTCTCACTAGTCATTCTGTAGCTCTGACTGAACTTGAACTCACAGAGATTGCCTGCTGCTGCTTCCCAGTGCTGGGATTAATGGTGTGAGCCAAGATGTTCCACCTCTCTTGTCATTTCTAAAGACTCGGAGTCAACAAAACTAGAATTAAGAAAGCCAAAGCTTTTTGGCAGCTGCTGTCACTATAATGATTGATTCACATCACTCAAGTTCAAAATACTTCTCTCTCAGATGATAACATTTGCTTGGGAAACATTTAGGGTTCAGGACTGCTGACATCATAGAATATAAAGTAAGGGACTTTTGGAGGAGTATAACGCTTGGCTCATTATTCTTGTTTAGGTCTCAGTTGGGTAGTTAAATGAACACACATTATATTTAAATTCTACTTTTATAAAGAAAAATGTCATATTGACCTTTTACAGAGTTTTCAAACTGTCCATTCATTCTTCTAGGTCATCACTAAGGTTCATCTCAAGACAAATCATGTCGTAAAGAGAGATGCTGATGGGCATTTACGAATCAAGACTATCTACGATCAAAGTATTGAAGAGTAAGTTTGCTGTTTTGTTTGCAATTTGCTTATTGTTTGTTTGAGACATCAGCTGTGTTGCTCAAACTGGCTATCACTTCATTGTGTTACCCAGACTGGCCTCAAACTCCCTCACCATCTTCCTGTCTCAGTCTTGTCATCTTTTTCCCTTGTCAGTCTCAATATTAAAGATATTTTCATGGTTATCTAACATAATGGCCATAGATAGAACTAGAAAAGGGCTGGTGTAACTTTAAAATAGAACTGAGTTGAAATTGCCTTTTATTCTGAATAAGCTAAAGCCTGTTTATCATGAATAATTTAAAGAGAACAAATTTGACCTTACTTGACTATGGCCTCAGCAGACCTGGAAGACACTTGTCAGTAAGTATTCAAAGGAAAAATAAGAGGAGTTGTAAATATAAACAACATAAGGAAGTTTACAGAATTATTCAGTAGATAGATTTTGTAGTGTAATTGGTATGTCATCTGAGAGTGGTCCAGATGACAGGTAGACTGGAGGAGTTAATGATATGCTCACAGAGCAGTCCATGTCTTTCTCCAGCTTAACCATTCTGGATGAATGAGATACTGTGTGATCATGCTTAGTTCCATGCTTAGGCACAGAGTAATGTGTCATAGGCCCATTCAGGAAGCTGAGGCTTTAGAAGACAAGCTCCAATGTGCAACTGTGCACTTGTGTATGGAATGTCTTAGGGCCCTTGAGATACAGTCCAGAGAGATAGGATGTGCTGTGACTCGGGTGGCCGTGCTTTTCTTGTGTGGTCGTAGAGACTGCACCCAGGGCCTTGGACCCACCAGGCAAGTGCCCTACCACTGAGCTAGGTCACCCTTAGAGCGGCAGTTCTTTTATGTTTTTCTCATCATTTTCAGGCTGCTCCCTGAGAAAAGATATCTTGTAAAGGTATGTAATAATAAATACTTCTCAAGTGGATACTTCAAACAGGTATATTTTCTGTGCTAATTCTTCCATGAAAAAAAAAATACATATGTGTGGTTTGTGGATGAATGAATAAAAGATTTGGTAGTAGATGTAGTTTTCATTTTGATAAAGGTATTTTGTGAGGGCCATCAGGGGTCAAACTTTATTGGCACATGCTTTTACAACTGAGCCATCTCACCAGCCCCAGAGGTTTTTGTTTTTGTTTTTTTACATAGAGTCCATCTCATCAAGGGGTGTGTGTGTGTGTGTGTGTGTGTGTGTGTGTGTGTGTGTGTGTGTGTACATGCACTCGTGCATGCACATACAGATGGCAACTTTCAGGGTTTGATCTCCACTTCCACTGTGGGTTCCTGGGATTGAGGATCATCAATGTTACACAGCAAATGCCCTTATCTGCTGAGCCATCTCACCAGCCCTCATCACATCTTTAACTGTGGATGGCATCTCACAGAACATATTAAGCCAGCTCCCTATGACCCACAAGAGCTTAATGAGCATCTACATAAGATTTCCTTAACAGAAGCCACCTTAATACTAGAATCTAAATCAGTCTCAAATTTGAAATAATCACCAATAGTTGGAGTATACATCTTCATTAATGCTCTCAGTCATCAGTTGAGATTATGTTTTCTAAAGTAGATAAATTGGAGCTGGGAAAGTTTCTGCCTAATCCTGTATTCCCAAACTCCACTAGGAAACAAGCTATCTTTTCCTCCTAAATTCACTCTATCCTTGCTGCCACATGACCTTGGACAGGTGTCTATATCCTGGAATCCTAGGAGCTTTCTTCTTATGTCTTATAGCCATTAGTACCCTGTGTTTCTTTTCTCTTTTAGTTTTATTTTTAAAACAATCTTATTTTACATACCAATCCCAGTTCAGCCAGTATTTATTCCTAGGGCTTGAGCTGGCTTTTTGGAACCCATTCACTATGGAGGGATACTTTGCTCAACCTAGATACAAGAGGGAGGGCCATGTTTATTTTCTTAAACATACTGTATCTCATGACGGTAATTCTAACGAGATTTTTCTATTTTATTTAGAACAAACTTTTCCCACAAGCTATTTCTTACTTAGAGAGAACATTTCAGGTTCGTCGGCCTGCCGGCAGGATCTTACTCAGCAGGTATGTAACTTCAGACAGTGATCCTTTCCTCCATCCAGTTAGCTCTGTGGACTCCCAATTCTACCATATGACAACACATGAAATTTATAGTAGAATTTTGTTACATGTGTTTTTAGAGACTAAACTACAAGATATTTAAGGGGGTTGGAAAAACACCTGCTAAGCCAGACGTTGGTGGCGCATGCCTTTAATCCCAACACTTGGGAGGCAGAGGCAGGTGGATCTCTGTGAGTTTGAGGCCAGCCTGGTCTCCAGAGCAAGTGGCAGGATAGGATCCAAAGCTACACAGAGAAACCCTGTCTCGAAAAACCAAAAAAAAAAAAAAAGAAGAAGAAAAAAGAAAAAGCACCTGCTAAATGACCCCCTTTCCATTATAAGCTGTTCTTGTCTCCATTTCCTCCTCCTCCATGTGGTTGTGCCGTTTGCTTTGTGAGGTGTTTGATAAGTCTCTTAGTGAACTGTCTACCTAGTTAAATAGTAACCATTCCTACAGAAGTCATACAGTGGGTGTATTAGTTACTTTTCTATTGCTGTGATAGAGCACCGTGACCAAGGCAGGGCTTATTTGGGCCTTAGGGTTCATGATGTCAGGGCCCATGATGGTGGAGAAGAGGTGACAGGTGGCAGGCAGCACAAGTGACTATAGTTTAACTGCTGTGAACTATTCTCTTTATTTTTTGTAATTTTTGATATATGAATAACCCAAAGACAATGCGCAACAAACCAGTACCTACGGAAAGAAAACGATCCACACAGATACTGTACTGGGGAGTGTGCAGTGCATACCAAGTGTGGCCCAGTTATAGTGCCCGAGGAACATCTCCAGGTGAGTCCCCTGCACTCAGCAGGCTTTCCATTCCAGAGTGTAAATGGGAGGTTCCCAATCTCTGAGCAAGGAGTTGTCAGATGCACAGTAACTCTGCTTGTTTGTTTGTTTGTTTGTGGTGCTCTGGAGGAAACTGGTGCTCTGCATGTTAGGCAAGTACTCTACACACACACACACACACACACACACACACACACACACACACACACACACACACACACATACCACCACCCCCCCATTTTCTACCAACATCTAATCCTAAAACATAAACTGTCAGCTTCAACCCAAGTTTGAACTGTTTTCCATAAAAACAGTAGCAGCTGAGCTGGGCGTTGGTGGCGCACACCTCTAATTCCAGCACTCGGGAGGCAGAGGCAGGCGGATCTCTGTGAGTTCAAGGCCAGCCTGGTCTCCAGAGTGAGTTCCAGGATAGGCTCCAAAATAATACAGAGAAACCCTGTCTTGAAAAACCAATAAATAAATAAATAAATAAATAAATAAATAGTAGCAGCTGACCAGGCCCAATGAGATCCACTTCCAGATATACTGAAGCAAGAGGATCACTTGAGCCTATGAATTCAAGAGCATCGGGGGCAACATTGCAGGATTCTGTTTCAAAAAAGGCACAATAATAATTGTATGATGTGTGTTCAGGAGTGTTCCTTATGAAACTATAAATAGACCTATTTAGGTTATTAAATTATAGTACAACTATAAAATGGAATGGTTAAAAATGAAGTCAATCTGTACTGACTTGAAGAGCTATTTAAGCTCTTAACTGAAAGAAGAAAGGTTGGGAGTCAGTAGGTCTAGTTAGCTTGTTTATCTGAAAAGCACAGATGTGCATTTGCAAAAGCAAAACAAAACAAAAAACCCTATGCAGTGAGCCAGGTGTCTATAATCCAACACTTGGAGGGCAGAGGCAGGAGATTCTCAGGTTTGGTTTCAGCCTGGGCTGCATAGCAAGACTTATTTCAAAAAGCAAAAGAAATCAGAAAAAGGAATATCTGGAAGAAAATACACACTAAAAAATCTAGATATAGTTCAAAATGCTAATTTTTTTTCTTTTATTTTTTTCATTTTGTGTGTATGGCTGATTTGCCTGCGTGATTCTCTGTACACCATGTGTGTGCAGTGCCTGGGGAGGCCAGAAGAGGGCATCATATCCCCGATAACGAGTTACAGATTGAACCATCTCTAGCCCTGGTTTTTTTCTTTTGTAAAAACTTGTATTTTTAATTTAATAATAAACATATATGTGTATATGTTTATACATATGAGCATAGGTGCCCATGAAGGATCATAGAAATCAGATCCCCTGGAACTGGAGTTTCAGGCAGATGTGAGCAGTCTAACATGAGTGCTAAGAACTGAACTTGGGTCCTCTGAAAGAGTAGTCGGTCTATGATACTCTTAACTACTGAGTCATCTCTCCAGCTTTACTATTTATTTATTATTATTTATTTTTTGAGATAGGATCTCTATGTAGTCCTGGCTGTCCCAGAATTCACTATAGCAACCAGGCTGGCCTTGAATTTACACACATCTACCTGTCTCTGCCTCCCAAATGCTGAGATTAAAGGTGTGTACCACCATTCCCAGCTATTTGCTTTTTATTTATTTATTTATTTATTTATTTTGTGTGTTTATGCATGGCATGTGTGTGGAACTCAGAGGACATCGTTTGAAAGCTGGTTCTGCCCTTTTTTTAAAAAATATTTATTTATTTATTATATATATAGCATTCTGTCTGCATGTATCCCTGCAGGCCAGAAGAGGGCACCAGATCTCATTTGGATGGTTGTGAACCATCATGCTGGGAATTGAACCCAGGTCCTCTGGAAGAGCAGCCAGTCTCTTAATGGTTCTGTCCTTTCACCCTGTAGGGTCCCAGGCTCAAGCTCAGGTCTGGCGAGGCAGCGTTGCCTCTGCTGCCACCCCATCTCACCAACCCAAGTTTTTTTTATAAAGGGAAATACTTTCCATTAGGTTGAAAGTTTTTATTAATTAGATTTGAAATAATTATATCCAAAGGAGGTTGCAAAATTATGTGTATGGCATAAGTCAGTGGTAGAACACTGCCTGCCACGTGTTCCATTCCAAACACAGCAAAGTGTGGGTGTGGCTGTGTGCAGGAAAGCCCCTTCAGCGAGGGTGTGGCTTTCACTTCTGTCCCTGGAACAAATACCTGGCCAAAGTAACTGGGGAGAAAAGGTTTCTTTCAGTTCCAGGTTATAGTCCATCATTAAGAGACGTCAAGGCAGGCACTTTAAGGACAGCCTTGGTTGGTATTCCAAGGAACTATAGCAGGAACAGTAGAAGATGCTACTTGCTAGCTGCCTTATACTCAGCTTGCTTACAGTTCAGGACCACCTGCTTGGGAATGGCACCACCCACAGGGGGCTGGGCCCCCTACATCAGTTAATAATCAAGACAGCTTCAAGCAGACATGCCCGTAGGCCAGCATGATCTAGGCATCCCCTAGCCTCCCTTCTCATGGATTCTAGGTTGTGGCAAGTTGACATTTCGAAGGAACCAAGCATGCCTAGTAGTTTCAGGGGTTTTGTTGTTGTTGTTGGTTATTTTGGGGATTTTGGTGGTGAGGGGTTGTTTTTAGTTGTTTGTTTTTTATTATTTTTATTTCATGTGCATTGGTGTTTTATATGTACATTTGTGTGAGGATACAAGATCCCCTGGAACTGGATTTACAGACAGGTGTGAGCTGAACCCAGGTCCTCTGGAAGAGCAGCCGGTGCTCTTAACTGCTGAGCCATCTCTCCAGCCCCTTGTTTCTTGTTTTTTTAAGATGGGGGTCTCACTACGTATCCTGGCTGTCCTGTAATTCCCTGTGAAGATCAGGTTGACCTCAAACTCACGGAGCTCTGCTTCTCCCTTCCAAGTGCTGGACTAAAGGCCTGCATCACCATACCCAGCTTAGTTTCAGGATTTAAACACCATTTGTTTCTTTTTTTTCTGCATCTTACTTTGTTGACCTTTATAAATAGCAGTCATTTTCTTTTGTTTTAATTTGTTTTGTTTTGTTTTGTTTTTTTTCTGAGACAGGGTTTCTCTGTAAAACAGTCCTGGCTGTCCTGGAACTCACTCTGTAGACCAGGCTGGCCTTGAACTCACAGAGATTTGCTTGCCTCTGCCTCCAGATTAAAGGCATGGGTCACCACAGCCCAGCTGTCATTTGCTTCCATTGTGTATAAATTTTCGATCATTTGTGTCAAGTAAAAATTTTAGTGAAATAAATTCTGAAGAGGAAAGAAGAGAACAGATAAAGAGAGGTGGGGTTTGTGATCTTGATTGGTTTTGTTGAGCTGGAAATCTTGCCTCACGGCTTGGTATTGCTTGCCTCATACTCAGCTCCCAAGTACCAGGAGTGTAGGTTTGTAATGCATGCCTGCTCAGTTCCCGATTTGGGTGAGAGTTTAGGGAGAGTAAGTGAGAGTTAAATAATGTGTATCTCCAGTCTGTAATCACCTGATAAGTCACTCGGCTAACTCAGTGTCTTGTCTGCTTTTTCTGTTCCCCTGTGTATGCAGCAATGCAGGGTCTGCCGAGAGGGTAAGTGGCCCTGCGGAGCAGTGGGTGCGCTAGACCAAGAGGGTGTTCAGGATGCAGACTTCATTCTCTATGTTGGTGCTCTGGCCACTGAGAGATGCAGCCATGAAAACATCATCTCTTATGCAGCCTATTGTCAGCAGGAGGCACAAATGGACAGGTAAGCCTTCCCCTGAGGCAGCTTCCCAAAAGCTTTAGCACACTGTAAAAAGAATTTTGCATCTGCTCAGTTGTTTTTAGGGCTAAGAAATAAGTTGTTAGAGGTTAGAAAGTGAAAAAAAATCCCTTGACCCTTTTTCCTCTTTTTTTTTTTTTTTTTTTTTTTAGAATATGTTTACTTACTCTTTGTGGGTATGTATGTGTACCTGAGGGTGTGTGTGTGTGTGTGTGTGTGTGTGTGTGTGTATCTGTACCACATGTGTGCAGGAGCTTGAGGAGGTCAGGCATCAGATTCCCTGAAATTGGATTCACAGGCAGTTGTGTGCTGGGAACCAAACCCAGGTCCTCTGGAAGAGCAGTCATTGCTCTTAACTGCTGGGACATCTCTCAGCCTCTTCTTGCCTTTTTCCCACAAAAAAACTTCAAGAAAAAAAAAAAACCTACTATCAAGAGAGAATTTCTGATTATAAAACAAAAAACACAAAAGATGAGAAATTTTATTGTCATTTAATTCTTTAACGAAATAATTTGGAGTTTAAATTTTACCTTTAACAGCTTACACTGTACAAATATAAGAATATTCTAGTATTTTATTTGTGTTACCTACCAACTTGCATCTTACTTACTGGATTACTTACTGGATAAGTCAATAGAAATTGGTTACAGACAGGTGGTGGTGGCAGTGGCCCACACCTTCAAAATCAATACTCAGGAGGCAGAAACAGGCCAAGTGAGTTCAAGGCCAGCCTGCTCTACAAGTCGAGTTCCAGGGTGGGCTCCAAAGCTATAGAAAAATCCTGTCTCAACACCCCCTCCCCAAATAAATTGATTACATATATAAAAGATTGGCTGCCACACACCAGAAAACTAGTTAATGGAAGTAAGTAGTAAACTCTTACACAACTTAGAACAGCGGTTCTCAGCCTGTGGGTCACAAGCCCTCTAGCAAACCTCTAGCTCCAAAAGTATTTACATTACGATTCATAACAGAGGCAAAATTACAGTTATAAAGTAGCAACAAAAATAATGTTATGTTTGGGGAACAACATGAGGAGCTGTATTAAAAAGGGTGGTCGCATTAGGAAGGTTGAGAACCACTGCCTCGAGTGTTACAGTGTGACATTCAAAAGTTAGCATGTTTAATTCATGTGCATTTCATGACCATTGTGTCTGCCCATCTGCCCAAAGACTCGTTGACTTTAGAGAGTTTTTATCTTTTCATTCTTTGGTGTATTTATGCATTAATTTATTTTTGAGCTGGGGTGTTGCTAAGTAGCCCCCGGTCAGCCTTGAACTTTAGTGATCCTCTTGCCTTAGCTTCTGGGGTGCTGGGATTACAGAAGTATGCTTCCAGGTTCCTGAAGGGCCTGAGGAAGTAAGCAGGTGTTGTGAAAAGCAGTGAGTCACTGTGATGTGATAGAATCTCTTCTCACTGCTGTTACAGAGAACTCAACAAAAATAAGCTAAGGGGACTGGAGAGGTGACTGGGTGGCTAAGAGTATATTACTGCTTTGCCAGAGGACTCCAGTTCCATCTCCAGCACCCCCACCAGGCCTACTCATAATTGCTTGTGTGTGACCCTCTAGTTCCAGAGGGACCTCACGCCCTCTTCTGTCCTTCGGGAGTATTGCACTCACATGCACAAACCCAGACTCAAGCACATCTACTCTAATTAGAAAATACAGGGTCATGCCCGGCGTTGGTGGTGCATGACTTTAATCCCAGCACGGGAGGCAGAGGCAGGCAGATCTCTGTGAGTTCGAGGCCAGCCTGGTCTCCAGAGCAAGTGCCAGGATAGGCTCCAAAGCTACACAGAGAAACCCTGTCTCGAAAAACAAAACAAACAAAAAAGAAAATTCAGGGTCTGGAGTTCCAAGTACCCACATGGCAGTTCACAACCATCCTTAACTCCATTTCTAGGAGATCAGATCACTTCAGACCTCTGCAGATACCAGGCACACATGTATAATACATACATGCAGACAGAACACTCATACACATAAAATGAAAAACAAATCTAAGAATAAATAAAAACAAATTTAGCTAGAAGGTTGTGGCACACCCTCACAGAGATCCACCTGCCTCTGCCTCCCAGGAATTGGGATTAAAGGCATGAGCCACCACCTCCTAGCAGTGGAATATTTTTGAGAAATATACTTTGGCTTGTTAGTGCTACAAGATAATAGTTCTTTTCGTCAATTTGAACTAAACTGTATTGGATTGCATACACACAAAAAAATTACATTTTTTAAATATAAAGTGTTGAAAGAACATTGCAACAACAAAGTACCTGTCTGTATTTGGATGCTCTAAGAAAAAGACTCAGAAGGACAGACTTTCCAGTCTTTCCAGTTTGTCTAGGACTGTCCTGGCTATAGCACTGAATGTCCCATGTTAGAGGAGACAGAGGAAACTAGTGAATCTTGGGCAAACTAAGATGGCTTGAAAATAACATACATGGTATTGTTGACAATAGCAGTTGCCTCCGGTGTTGGATATTAGAAGAGACGGGGAATAACAAGGGCATTCTTACTATCTTCTTTATATATATTTTTTCTTAAAAATGTTTTTATTTTGTGTATTTGGGTGTTTTGTTTGCATATATTTCTGCACACCACTTATTTGCTGTGTGACTGCAGAGTTATAGACAAGTTGTAAGCCACTGCATGAGTGCTGGGAACTGAACTGGGTCTTACTGCTGAGCCATCTCTCCAGCCCTCTTTATATATTTCTACATTGTTAGAGCATATTCTTTTATACTGTAAGCTTTTAAAAACTTTTATAAAAGCTATGTTGAACTTTATATATTAGGATCAAGGTGACTCGCCTGGATGAGTGAGGGAAAGTGTTATGATATATGGCACGGGTGGGACCTTTGGTAGTTTCCATGGTGGGTGAGGGGCAGACAGAACTTAATGGGAAGGAAGTTTTAGTGGGGGAAGGGAAGGGAGAGATGGGAGAGGAGAGAGATGGGGGCACAGAGATCCGTCTGCCTCCTCAGATAAATGGTGGAAAGAAAAAGTGGGAGTAGGCAGAGCTTGTCTCTTAAAGGGCCCTTTGCACCTGTGTACAGAGCCTGCCGTACATGCAAGGGTGACCACTCTGCCAGGTCCCCAAAGGGCAGAGCCAGTTTGCATTTGCCTAGATGATAACAGGAAGAATATAAAATCCCAGGTGACTGAATCTGAGTTATTAGTTCATCTTGTTTCTGTGTCTCATGATACTGAAAGCACCTACTGGATCTGCTTGTCTTCTGCTGAGAGAATTATGTGTTGGAGGCAGACAGGAGTGGTGTGTTTCAGTTTTGTTACACTGCTTTTTATTTAGTGTGGTATTTTAATGTTTGATCACAGTTGATACGCATGAGTAGGTAAAAGAATAAATGGTCTTTGTACCAGAGAATGTGGAACTGATCACACCTGGGGAAAGGTTGGGTTTCTTCTGGGAATGTGGATGTGGGACAAAGCACAGCACTGCATCTTTAGTTTTGCCCCCACCCCAGTGAGGGAGATATGGTCTCACGTCTTTAGCCTGGCCTGGAACTCATTCACTATGTGGCTTGAATGAGGATGACCTCTAATTCCTTATCCTCCTGCTCCTCCCTCCCAAATGCTGAGATTACAAAAGCATGTGGGCCACACCCAACCAGTCTTGTGAGTCTAGAGAATTCTGTATTGTGTGAATCTATGCCCATGACCAGCTGATTATACTGCTGGCAAAGAAGGTGAACAGTTAAACAGGCTTGTGTGCTTGCCTCCTGCAATTTACAGATTGTATAGAGCATGCTGTTTTAAAATGTGATGCATACTTCATACAGGATCCTGTAACGTAGAACAAAGGAAAGTTACAAGGAATATCATTTCACTTGATTTGAGAAGGAAGACCTCTTTTGAAGAAGTAAAATTTTAGCTGCAGCCTGAGCAGTGATAGGCTTTAGCCAAATAAAGAGGTAGGAAACTCTATGGGTTGGAGAGAGGTGTATGCTTGCAATGTTGGCAGCTTGGAAAGCTGGTTCAGGCAAACTCAAAGTTCAAGGCTAGTTTGTTGTTGTTTGTTGGTTTTTGAAAACTTCTTGATATGTAGACCTGGCTGCTATGAAACTCACCATGTAGACTCCAGGCTGGCCTTGAACTCAAAATGATCCTTCTGCTTCTGTTTCCCAAGTGCTAGAATTGCAGGCACAGACAATTTAGCAAGATCCAATGAGTTGGGGGTGTAACTTAGTGGTAGAGTGCTTGCTTTGCATGTGTGAGGCCCTGAATTCAGTCAGAAAACAAGAAAGAAAAAAGAAGATGGAGCCGGGGTAGAAGTTCATGTTAGAGAAAAGCCATGTGGACCTGTTCCTTCCAGAGCTCCTTTAAACAAGGCCTAAGGTCCAGGTGGAATCCAGCTGCGATTCCAGCTACTTAAAAACAAATGTTCATTGTAAGTAGGCACCTATAACTCAGTGAGGGTTCTGGTGTTTCCACAGTAAACTGCTAAAGCAAAGGTAGAGGAAAGTTCGGATCCCGTCACATAGTCTGTTTGCCACCTCTTTGAAAGACACCAGGATACGCAGTGGTCATTACTCAGTGTTGAACGCTTGAAAGCGCCTACAAAGCTCCCATTCCCCTCCAAAAACAAGTGTTGCTTTTCCATGCCATTGGAAAGCAAAAGGTGTGGGTCTTGACAGTAAAAAAAAAAAAGTTAGTTATAAAATTGCATTTCATAAATATTGTCCTTGAGCTGTCTTTCATAAAGAAATTATGGTTAGCAAATACTGTAAATGCTACTCTGGGATATAGTGAAAAATGTCTTGTTTATTTTAACAGGCCGATAGCAGGATATGCTAACCTGTGTCCAAATATGATCTCCACCCAACCACAAGAGTTTATTGGGATGCTGTCCACAGTGAAACATGAGATCATTCATGCCCTGGTAAATGCCATTAACTTCTGTCCTTGCCTTCAGACCATGGATTTGTTGTCTATTCAGTCATCTTAATACACGTTTTAAATGATATGTGAATTCTTAGGTTCATGTTTGGTAAAGCCTGGTTAGTTATGTTTTTGTCAATAGGAATTTTTAATAGTAGGTTAAGTTTTGCTATCTGGTATAATTTACAATTAAAGGAATATTTCCATTGCGTAAGTAGGATGTTGAAGAGATGGTTAAACTTCTAAAGAAAAGCATCTTAGGGCCAGATGTGGTGGCTCAGGCCTGTATTCCAACATTTGAGATGCTGAGGCAGGAGGATTTCTGTAAGCTTGAGGCCATGATTACAAGCGTGTGCTAGGGTACCCAATGTATGCAATGTTGGGGATTAAATCCAGGACTTCATACACACTAGATGGCCATTCTACCAGCTGAGCTGCATGCCTAGCTGACTGCCTCTGACACACACACACACATAAATGTGGATAGATTTGAGGCTTAGACATTGAGCTTTTTTGTTTTGTTTTTTTGAGACAGGGTTTCTCTGTGTAGTTTTGTAGACCAGGTTGGCCTCGAACTCACAGAGATCTGCCTATCTCTGCCTCCCAAGTGCTGGGATTAAAGGCATGTGCCAACACCACCCAGCAGACATTAAGCTGTTTGGTTTTTTTTTTGTTTTTTTTTTGTTTTTTGACATTAAGCTTTTATAGATGTTATTAGGAGTATACCTGATCCCCAGCTCCCTACACAATTCAATATTGTTAATAATTTTCAGTAGTAGTGGCTGCAGTTTTGGCACTTAGTAAATTTGGGTGAAGAAGATAGCCCAAAGATGTCCTTGTTATTATTGTCCATTATTGTGCCTTAGGTTGTGTTTAGTATAAAATAGATAATAACTTTTTCTTAAGTTTTTCTTTCTTTAAGTCTGATATTTATAAATAAAGGCCAGTGAAGTGGTAGGGAGTTGGTCCTGCAATTATTGTGGTACTTTTATATTTTCAGCGTTTGTTCCACATTTGGAAATGGTACATGATAGGGTCTCCAACATGAAAAATACTAAAATATATGTAAAACCATACAGATGAATTAAAAAGTACAATTCCCTGGGTTCTGTAGTGTATGCCTAGAAGTATCACGATAACATAGCATTGATATGTAGAGCCTGAAAACAAATGTAAAATATATAATGTGCTGTAGAGAATCCTGTATTGAAAACATTCAAAAAAAAAAAAAAAAAAGATGCATACTGCTCTTTCAGTTCCTAATACCCATGTGGAGCAGATTGCAACCACCCCTAACTCCAGCTCCACGGCCTCTAGCACCCCTTCTGGCCCCTGTGAGCTCGCATACATGCATGGGTGCATTTACACGTGAGTAAAAGTAAAAATAATCTTTTGAAGTGTTTACAGCAAGTAGTTCAGTGTTTTAAACTGTAAACGCAACACCCTTGCTTGCTGTTGAGTTGAATTCTGGGGTAACTTCTGCAAGGCTGCATAACACTCTGTGACTAATAACACCTCCTCCTCGATGGAGGATGATACTGTGTCTGTGCTGGGACTCAACACTCTGCTCTAGGACACTTTGGATTCTTTCTTCCAGGGTTTCTCTGCTGGACTTTTTGCATTCTACCATGATCAAGATGGAACTCCCCTGACATCACGGTCTGCAGATGGCCTCCCACCTTTCAACTATAGGTATTTGCTATTTTCATTCTTGTTCATCCTTTTTAGAGGATGCTAGGACTAGAACCTGGGAATTACAGCACTGTTCATGTGGTGAACGACAGTTACTTCGTGGCCAACCCAAAGTAACGGTAGACAGTAAGACAAGATGCACTTAAGAGATGGTTTGTTCAGAAGATCAGGACACCCCTTTACACTCAGGACTCTTCCCACCATATTATAACACATTTCACTTTGCGCTATAGTTAGGCTATGGGAAAACATGGAGTGGTTATGTTTGGGGTTTTATTCATTTAGCCTACTAAATTAGCAGTGTTTTAAGAAGTTCAAGGTCTAAAATGAGCAATGCTAAGAAATGCTGAGAACAGCTTATCAGTTTTGTAGAAAATAGCAGTCATAGGACAGTAACCATCAGCCTGCATGTATATAAAAATAAATACCTAAATTAGGGCACATATCCATAATAACACATGAAAATATTCATGACAATTTTATTATAAACAGCCAAATAATATAAACCACCGCAAAATTATCAAAATTAGGTTAAATAAGTAAATTTTAATATGTTCATGAAACTGAAAACTGTATAATACTAAAAAGAACATACTGTGGCTGGGGTGTAGGTCAGTAGTAGAACATGCGCACATGAGGTCATAGGTTCAGTCCCAGGCCCAGCAATAGTCTTTGCTGTGTGAAGAAACATGGGTGAACTACTCAGGTATAGTATAAAGCAGAATAACTCAAATAGTCCATCTATATGGAAATCAGATACTGGCAATAATAAAAGATAAGGGCTTCACTTTAGGGAGCAGTCTGCTAACTGCTGTAAAGTAGCTACCGATGGAGCGGTGTCACGGGAAACCTTCCCTGTGCTGACTGTTCCTATTCCTTTCTTAGGGTACTAACGTGAGGTAGGTATTAACAGTTCATCTAGGGCTGGCAAGATGGCTCAGTAGGGAAAGTGCTTACTGTACAAGCCTAACAAACAGGTATATAACACAAACATACATACACATGCACACACTAATAATAATACATAGATTATGAATTAAAAAATGAACACTTGGGACTGGAGAGAAGGCTTAGCAATTAAGAGCACTTGCTGCTCTTGCAGAGGACCTGAGTTTTATTGCCAGCATCCATTTCAGGAGGCCCATAACTGCTTGTAACTTGAGTTTCAGAAGATCTGACCCCTCCTCTGGTCTCCCTGGGTGCCTGCACATGAGTGACATACACACATATAGACACACACAGGCACATTAATAAAAAAATAATAAAAAATTCAATTAACCCTTAAATGACTTGTTTTATGTACATTTTGCTTTAATTACAAAGTTCTCCAGTAAAATAGTTAATACTATTTAGTGTGTATTTATTTATTTCTTGTTGGATTTTTTATTTGTTTTGTTTTTTGTTTTTTGAGACAGGATTTCTCTATGTAGCCCTGGCTATCCTAAAACTTGCTCTGAAGACCAGACTGTCCTCGAACTCAGATACCTACCTGTCTCAGCTTCTCAAGTGCTGGGATTAAAGGTGTACACCACCACACCTGATTTATTTCTAGTATTTTTAGAGTAATTATAAAGTACAAAATTCTAGGCAGTGGTAATGACCCATACCTGTAACCTCTGCACTTTCGGGGGGTAAAGGCAGGAAAATCAGAAATTCAAGGTCAGCCTCTGCTACTTAATCTGTTCTGGGTTACATGAGACCTCATCTCAAAGAACCAAAGTTGGGAGGACAACAGCAAAGAAACAAAATGTTAATGTATAAATGGATGTTTTTCCTAGAGTGTGCCTTTTGTTTGGTAGTGTGGAACAAGTCTGGTCTTTGATGGTAAAATGTAAAGTGCTGGTCCTGATGTAAAATGTAAAGGATGAGATTAGCATACTCTCTGGAGTGGGAGAGTGATGGACGTAAGGGTCAAGGGAAGCTGATACTTGATGAAATCTTCCAGGTTAATTGGAGATACTAGAGTAATAAATTCAGTTGTTAGGCATGAAGAATTGGATTAGGCTTTAGCCTGTTTGGAGAAACCATTCACATGCTGGGCTTGGTGGTTTATGCCTGTAATCCCAGAACTTGGGAGGCTGAGGCAGTAGGATAAGGAGCTCAATACCAGCCTCTGCTACATACCAAGTTTAAGGCTAGCCTATACTATATGAGAGCCTCTTTAAAAAACAAACAACAACAACCAGATAAAATCAAAGCAAAACAAAAAAGAGTGAGGTTTGAGAGAAACTGTTACCCTTGAAGGATGAATGGAGAACAGAATATTGGTTAATTAATGAACTAAAAACTGTTTATTTTCTTGCTGTCTTTGTTCACTGTGTTTAAACGTTGTCTTCCAAAAATAAATAAAAATAAAATGAATTAATACAGCACCCCCCCCACACACACACACACAGTAGTCAGGGTCCTGGATATCAGAGTATTGAGTGGGAGAAGCGGGGATGAGAAATAAAGAAGATGAAAACAATAGCTGGGGCAGGAGACCTTGTATAAGCTGATAACTTATGCCAAGAAAGTTTATTATATAGCTTCATTTATACTATTTGAGGGGGAAATGGCCAGGTTCAGCAGAGAGCTAGGACAATGTTGACAGAAACACGGCATTTCTCAGTTACAGTTGGCTAAGGACTGATAACCATTGCCTGGGGGGAGAGTCCAGTCCCCAGAAATGGCATCCTGGACTCCTATGAGGCACTCACTGGCTTTAGCTCTAGACTGGCCTTGCCACGTCCACTCCTGGACAAGAACACAGAACTGAAGTTCCCTTTGTCCTTTCTTCAGGGCCTCTTGGGTTAATCTTGCTTCCTACACTGCAAATATAATGTGACCAACTGTTTTACACTCATGTTGCCATGTCTTCCTCACTACAATGGACTGTATCCACTTTCAAAACCATGGTCCACCTGTCTCGAAAAACCAAATAATAATAATAATAAAACCATGGTCCAAAATAAGGTGTCTCTTCCAAAAAAAAAATCTCAAAATTGGAAGTAGATAAACAGATATGTTATGCAATAAATATAAAAGGAACTGCCCCCCCCCCAGATGCTTGGCTAGCCTTGAACTTACATGTAGCTAAGGATGCCCTTTATATGATGCTAGGGACAAAATTCAGCTCAAGTACTGTACCAACCAAGCTGCATCCAGTTGCATCTGTAGCCTGGCATTTTAGTTTTGATGGAAATATTTTTGGGGTTCTTCTGTCAGCCCCTGTATCATTGTTGGATATTCTTGTCTCTAACGACAACAACTTTGTTTCACATCTTTCATCAGATGTTAGGATAGCCACTCCAGTCCTCTTCAGGGGATTAGTTACATAGTGCCTCTTTTAAATTGCTTTCCATCTATTTGTGTCCTTGGATCTAAACAGCATTTCTTGGGCTGGAATAGTGAATCATACATTTTTAAAAGTCTCCTTTGCTACTGCTGTCTTGGATTATTGGTTTTCACAGTGGCCTTGAAATTGTAGACAGGGGATGGGAACCTCAGTGCTGGTGTTCTTCACGGAACTCATCCATCTTTCATGAATAAGGGCTTCTCGAATTGATGCAGCCCTTTGTTTATTTCCAGGGCTCTGGAAACGTTAATTTGGCCAAGTTCTTGTTGATTTCACGCCAGAGTTTTTCCTTAGAACTTTCTAAAATTTAATTTTGTAGCTGACATGAAATAATTGCTTTCCTTAATGGATAACCAGTTTCAGTGCACAACAATTAAATCATGTTTTCATTAATATGGCAGCACTTTTTGTTCAGTTTCCTTATATGCTTGGGTCTGTCTCTGCTTTGGTTCCTTTTCTTACTTTACTCCTCCTCCTCTTTTCTTTTTTTAATGCACTAAACTTGTCAGAAGCCGCTGAGGGCTGGGGTCTAGTCAGTGGCCGAGTGCTTGCCACGCATCTACAACATCCTGGGCTGGATCTCTCGAAAGTCAAAGGGGAAATGATGTAGTTAATTTATTGTTGTCCCAGCTCAGTATTGCTGTTTGAACTTGAACAAGTTCTTTCATCTCCCTAAGCATCTGCCTTTTTGCCTACACGAGACTGTAAGAAAATCCTTATGAACCTGGTGTGGTGGTACACGCCTATAACTGAAGCACCTGGGAGGCAAAGATGGGTGGGTCTCTGTGACTTCAAGGCTACTCTGGTCTACATAGGCCAACTAGGGCTACATAGTAAGATCCTGTCTCAAGAAAAAAAAAATAAAATGCTTATAAGTACATTACATGGAAATGATACATAATAAACTCTCAAATATTTCAATTTCATATTTTTATTCGTGAATACTTTTACATTTACAGTTGTAGTAAGTTGGCAAAATGACTATCTTTTATTCTGTAATTACAGTCTTGGATTGTATCAGTGGAGTGATAAAGTAGTTCGAAAAGTGGAGAGATTGTGGAATGTGCGAAATAATAAGATAGTTCGCCACACTGTGTATCTCCTAGTAACTCCTCGTGTTGTTGTGAGTATTATTGAACTTCTTTGTCTCTCATTTTTGATTATGGTCCTTGCTTTACTGGCAATTTCTGTTTAAGAATGTGTGCTTACATTTCAGTGTGTAGTAGAAAATGTAGGAAGACAATGAAATGGAAATTTGGCAGTGCATTGCCATCTAGCCCACTGCTTTAAGGCAGGAGATGAGAGGCACTTGTGCCTAGGGAGAAGCAGCATTTTTCAGTGTTATTTGTAGGGCTGGAGAGAGAAAGTTCCTGCTACACAAACATGAGGACCTGAGTTCAGATCCCCAGCACCCCTGTGGTTAAAGAAAAATTCCACAAACAGTTAGTGCTTGTCTGTAACCCCAGAAATTGGTGAAAGAATGGAGACAGGCAGATCCCTAGAGTTCAGGTGGTTTCCCAGCCAGCCTATCACAGTGGGCATGCACATGAACGCGTGCACACATACACACACACACACACACACACACACACACACACACACACACAGAGAGAGAGAGAGAGAAATGTTATTTTAAAAATGAGGTGACGGGTCATACCAGTTACTGACTTCTGGCTTCCACATGCACATGCACACACAGGATCATGTATGCACACCACACACAAAGTTATTTGAACAGAAAAAAAGAAGCCATACCTGGCGTTGGGGCAATGGCTAGTGGTTAGGAGCACTTGCTGTTCCTACAGAGGACCTGGGTTTGAGTCCCAGCATCCACATAGCTGCCCATAACTGTCCATAACTCCACTCCCAGGAGCTCCTTCTGACTTGGGCAGACATTGGGCATAAAAAATACTCATAAATAAACATAAAGAGGAGAGGAGCGTGGGAACTCTTAGGTTCAGCTCACTGTCGTCTTCCTTGGGCACATACCTAAATAAAGGGAAGAAGGAAGGCACGGAAGAGGATAGCTGCTGGTGCTTGCTTTGTTGGAGATGGCTTTAAAAGACCATCACCTCAGCCTGGCGGTGGTGGTGCATGCCTTTAGTCCCAGCACTCGGGAGGCAGAGGCAGGCGGATCTCTGAGTTCGAGACCAGCCTGGTCTGCAAGAGCTAGTTCCAGGACAGGCTCCAAAGCCACAGAGAAACCCTGTCTCGAAACCTCCCCTGCAAAACCCATTAGGTTGTTTTAAAAATATTAAAATGGAAAAGAACAAGCTGTACACTAGTGGGATGCAGTTGGTGGTATGAAAACAGCCTTTGCGTTGGGACAAAGTATTTGCAAGCCATATATTTGCTAATAAGTTACTATAAAAATACATAAGAATATAACTGCAAGAAAACAAATGCCCTAATTGCAAAATGGAAAAGAAGACAGATGTCATGGTGTATGCCTGTAATCTGAGCCCTCGAGATTATGAGGCAAAGGATGGAGAGTCTAGGCCAGCCTAGGTTACATAGTGTGACCCTGGCTCCTAAAAGTAAAATAAATGTCTAATAATTTGGTATTCCCTATCCTCATTTGTAAGGGCTACTTTCAGGCTGTGACTCTTTCCTAAAGTTCTATATACTTTAATAAATTGATAAAACTGAAAAAAAAAATAAAAAGGAAAATAAAACTAGCAACAACAAATAATGGGCAAGGAACCTAAAAAGGCCTTTTTGTTTGGTTTGGTTTTGGGGTTGTTGGTTTTTGGTTTTTTTTTTGTCTTTTCTTTTAAGACAGGGTCACTTTTTGTAGTCCTGGCTGTTCAGAACTTGCTCTGTAGACCAGGCTGGCCTGGAATTCACAGAGTTCCATCTGCGTCTGCCTCCCAAGTGCTGAGGTTAAAGGCCTAAGCAACCATAGTGGCTAACATGACATAAAAAAAGCAAACAAAAAACCCAAACAAGCCTGCAAATGGGCAATAGATATATAAAAATGTTCAGCATTACTAACCATTGGGAAATAATTAAAACTCTAATAAGATGTCTTACACCTGTGGCTTTTATAAAAAAGACAAAGCATGTTATGTATTGGCCAGGATACAGAGAAAACATACAGTGTTGTTGGGACTATGAATAAAATACCTCCATTGAGGAAAACTTTTTCCTCAATAAACTAAAATAGAATTACCATAGGATCCAGCAATCCTACTTTTGGACATTTAGTCACGAGGTTTGAAATCAGTTTGTCAAATGTCTCTACTCACATATTTGTACATCGCAAGTCACAATAGCCAAGTTATGCGAACTGCCTAAATGTCCATCAATACATAAATATGTGACAAATGTGTATATACATAGTGAAACAGCATTCGGTCTTAAAGTGGAGGGAAACTGTCATTTATGATGTCATTCAAGAGATTCAAGAACATTATGCTGAGTGTAGTAAGCTCAGCACAGAATGAGAAACACTCAGTGTTCGAGTGTGATATCTGAAACAGTGCAGACTGACATGTGGCTCAGTTGGTAGAGTGCTTGCCTAGTGTGTGTAAAGCCCTGGATTCGGACCCCAGTACTACATAAAGTGCACATGTGGTGCACATCTGTGTACCCTATACTCAGGAGGCAAAGGAAGAAACTCAAGGTCATCCACAGCTTCATAACAATTTAGAGATCAGCCTGGGCTACATAATAATGCCCTATCTACAATAAAATAATGGAATACACAGAAATAGCATAGGGTGGGGGTTCCAGATGACAGGGGCGTGCATGGAGGGAATGCTATACAATTTCAAAGAGGAGGAAGTGCTTTTTCTTCTTAAAAATCAATTTTTTATCAGATCTGTATTGAATAAATTAATATTGTACATTTAAAAGTTGCTAGGGGGCCTGGAGAGATTGTTAATGGTTAAAGCACTGGCTGTTCTTCCAGAGTTCAATTCCCACTACCCACATGGCAGCTCACAACTGTCTGTAATTCCATTGTCAGAGAATCTGGATGTCTTTTTCTGTCCTTCATAGGTACTGCATGCACAGACCTGCACTCAGGGACACAAATATATGTAAAATACATATTTTTAAATTGCTAAGGAATAAATTTCAAAAGTTCTATTTTTTTTTTTTTTTTTTTTTGGTTTTTCCAGACAAGGTTTCTCTGTGTAGCTTTGGAGCCTATCCTG